GGGTAGAATTAAATATGTATGTATGCACTCTTATTTACTCCATAGACAAAGACATGTTCTGGAGTCTCATGGTGTTTGACAGGCGCAATTATTACTTTCATCGTTTCTCGGTGAATTAACTCACTCCACCATTCCACACTGCACTCTTATCCGACCCACGCCGCTTGCACATCACCAACACAACGGGGACATTCCTGTTGAGATATTCCTGCCCCGTAAGCCAAGAAAAAAAGGACAGCATTACAGTGAACAGACCCTGACAAGAGGACCATATCGTAATGGCCCATGCGCTTATACACACGCTTTTGCCGTATTTGTAACTTTTGCAGGTCGATTGGTCTCACATAGAGGCACGCACATGTGCTTGTAGTTGTGTTACCAGTATGGAATATGGAAGCTGTGCATTAAACCCTGTAAAAATGGCATATGGTGGTATCAGCGTGTCGTGGCTCGTGGGATTGGGTTCACCTATGAAGTACAAGTAGGGCTGAAACGATTATACCGATTACTCGGTCATTGATCAATAATTCCTCATAATCGCTACGTTATAGATTACTCGTTATCGATGTTGAGTTCAAAACGTACTGGAAACCCCATTTTGTGAAGTTTGAATTAGTTTCCACCGTGAGTACCGTAGTTCCGCGCATATAAGCCCATGGGCCTATATCCGGATATAAGCCCACCTCCATTTATAGGCCCATGGGCTAATGAACAGACCCAAACACCGTTTAATACGGAACCGATAGTACAGCATGTCAGTGCAGACTACATTACCAGTACCGGTACCTGCGGTAGGCGGACAACCGCGCACAGACTTGTACTTTTTCGCGTGCCAGCTGCCTTCAAAATTCGAATATAGGCCCAGGGCTAAAAAACGAACCATTATTACTGATTTTTTCCGGGAAAATGCATTATTTCGTATATTAGCCCATGGGCTTATATGCGCGGAACTACGGTATGCAGTTGCCAGGGGTATGGCTTATGTTCTGAGGTTCAATTGCATTCAGAATACATTGTAGTAGTTTACATGTATACTAGTCACGATGCTTATGACTAGGTGTGGCTTTTCATTTTGTTTTTGTCCATGCAGGAGTCAGGATTATGCCGTCTACTGAACATTGTCGCATGCGTTCCTATAGAGCAAGCTGGCTGCTCTCCATCTTGATTATGGACCTCAAGTGTGGACCCAACTGGTTAGAGAAATGAAGGAACAATCGTCATGGTGTACTCTCAGGCCAAGGATATGCCTTGCACACCCGTGATGTCCTTTGCCGAGGAATGTGGTCCAGCGTTTCGAACACAGAACGCTGACCATTTACAGCTCGTTTGTAGTGGATTGTGTGAGTTTGGTCTGGTGGGATTCGTAGCCGTGTTTAAACAAGCCACTGGAGACAGATTTTCAGTGCCTCTGTCTTGGTTGAGGTTTTTCCAATCATATTCTGTGCACATATGGGTATCCAAGTGCCTATCGAGTATCATGGTCATGGTCACTGCATACAGATCCATGTGGCTCTCGAATATGGACAACAGTCTTCTGTTTGATGGCCAGGCCTGGTGATGTTGTCCTGATTTGGTCACTCTATCTTATGCCGACATTCAGTGTGTAAATGCTGGTGCTGGCTAGACTGTGAAGTATGGGGAATGACACATGTGCTTTTCTCAAGATGCTCGTGTAGAATTCATTCCCTTTGACCGAAAGCTTGTGTTCCCGGATCCTGTTTGTAGCTATACACAATTTCTCCGTTCTTCCTTGTGGTTAACTTTCGCCTCCGACTATCCCTAACCATCATCTCATTGGGGTGTCTGTCCATGACGTGGCTGGCTGGCATCGGAGTTGGGCACTGCCCTGTCATCCACTGGCATAGTGTTGAACCTAACTGACTTGTATGTCACATACTAGCTGGAAGTTGTTTAAAGGGTTCGGTTTCAGTCTTTTTATAATTATACCGGTAGTAGCTTTACCATATTCCTATTACTTAGCTATTTCCTTTTCTCGCCCTTAGGACACTTTCTTCACCATACACTGTGTTTCTTTGGCCGTAAAAGAGGCAGTCTGCACTTGTATTGAGTTTCCTCATTGTGATGGAGATGGAAAAGAAAGCACACATATAGCACTTCCTGCCTGTGTCTCGGCTATAAGCACTTTTAGCTGCTACCATGTGGTTGACTGAAACCAGGGTGTGAAAGATTATTGACCAAGAATGCATGCTGCAGCTCGGCTGTTTTGTTCCTTTTCTTATGTAGATCTACAGTGAAGGAATCGAAATCGCATGTAACGTGCAATGTGTTTGCAAGTGAAATAATGTAAAGTCCCCCCCCCCCCCCCCGGAATACCTGCGCTCGAATGTACTATCATGTGGTCCATTATTGTATTGGTTCAGCGCTGTATTCCGGTGTATGTGCTGAAGTTGTTTACAGGTAGAAATTGACGGGGGCACACCAAGTTCTTTACATCACATGTACATGTACAGTAGAGCCTCGTTAAAGGGGAAGTTAAGCCTAAAATCAAATTTTCACCAGTTGTAGTCTTCGGGGTGCTGAGTCGAATGGTCTTGGTCCGAGGAAGCTGAGACGCTCCCTTCCTTCTTTATTCCCAATCGAACTTGAGCACTTCCACCGAAACTGTGTGCCTGCGCACTACTAGATAGGGATTTGTATGGAAAAGTCACTAAAAACGCCGTTTCGTTCTTATAAAAGCGCGGATGACCGCGATTGGTCCATAATTATGTTGTAGTCTTTTGGACGCTGAGTCGACTGGTTTTGGTCCAGAAAGGCCGCGATGCAGCGTTCGGCCCTTATTCCCAATCGAACACGGTTGAGTAAGCGGTCACGTGCTCATGCGTATACCAGCCGCCCGGTCACCGTGCCTGCAGGCTACAATTTTCAGATCAAGGTTCAACTCAAAGGTTCAAAGCAGGGAGTCGTAAGAGGCTTTTGCGACTCCCTGGTTCAAAGGTTCAACTCGAGTGACATAAACGGGCCCAAACAGGCTGTAAGTGAGCACGTGATCGCTTACTCAACCGTGTTTGATTGGGAATAAGGGCCGAACGCTGCATCGCAGCCTTTTAGGACCAAAACCAGTCGACTCAGCGGCCAAAAGACTACAACATAATTATGGACCAATCGCGGTCATCCGCGCTTTTATAAGAACGAAACAGCGTTTTTAGTGATTTTTTCCATACAAATCCCTATCTAGTAGGGCGCAGTCACCCAGTTTCGGTGGAAGTGCGCGAGTTCGATTGGGAATAAAGGAGGAAGGGAGCGTCTCAGCTTCCTTGGACCAAGACCATTCGAATCAGCACCCCAAAGACTACAACTGGTGAAAATTTGATTTTAGGGTATACTTCCCCTTTGAAGAACACGGAGCCCAAGAACACGCAGCCTGAAATACTAATAATTAAAAGAACGCCAGAAACCAAAGCTGAGAATGGGGCATATCATTTTCTACCGTTCTATAATTCAGCTTTTGTTATACATGTACACATGTTATAAAGTGCACACTCCAGTACAATATTAATAAGAGTCTAAGAATGTGCTATAACTCAGAACGCAGCAATATTGCTAAAACATTGACTCAACTGCAGTTCTTTGCGCACATATCATACTAAGAGTCCATCACACATTTCCCTTGGGGTTGTGGACTCTTGGATCATATTCCCATTGACATTCACAATGACGGCTTAAGACCTTTGCGCTTCATTGAGAATTGAAACCTACTTCAAGCTGTCCTGAGAGTACATTACAACTTTCAGTTTCGCACGAATCTTACAAGAGAAGTTCATGAGTAATAATAACATGATTGCAAGCCCGAAGAACACGCCAATGCTTCATAAACTACATACAGGCTATTGGCTAGGCCATTTTTTAAGGGACCAAAAAATGACATTGAAATTGCGGTCTGCAGACTCTGGTTAGAACTTCGCCATTTGAACGAAGATGATGTGGGCTTCTATCTCAGGCCCCTCAAGAGTGAATATGGGTGCTGGTGCGTTTCTTTGCCATGTAATACGCCTCCCACTGGTGACGACAGACAATGCATTGATTTTGTTTTGTTCCAAACCGTGGAGGCCACCACGACCCCATCAAGAACCGGACACCGATGAACGCTTCTGGAAGTGTTTCCACATCGGTGAAGAGTCAAAGGAAAGCATCGATGTCTACATACTACCTTGCCCAAAAATTTGGCGAATTTTTCTTTGCCACTTGCCTGATTTTTACGAATATTTGACAGCTCCCACAAGAACACTCCCAGCGACGTCGAGACAATGAGTAACGACCACTAAAACTGACTTACATAAGGTCAAAGACCCAATCAAGGTGTCCGGAAAGCAAAACTTCCGCAAGCAGGCACTAATGGAAAGAAAACTGCAAACGACTCGAGACATCTAACATTTTCTTGACAATTTTTCAACGAAGATTTGAATATATTCAGCTCCGAAAAGTGGCTAATCTGCATAAAAAAGTACAACTTTTAGACGACTTTTTCGGTCTTGGCGCATGGACTGATTACATAATCATTGAACACGTACAGCCTATTATGGACTCTTGCTACTATACACAAATGATACAGGTCTTGGGCCTCTCTGTTCTCACGATCACAGGGTATGTAGATCTTTTTTTGTGACTACTGGTGTGCAAACAAAGGAGCGTACACCGTACTGCCCGTGTGTAGCTCTTACAAAATGTACAACTTTAGATCAAAAGGGAAATTGAAGTTGTTTTTGGTGGGTGCATGCATGGTCGCGGTCGAGGTAGCGCGCAATATACGAGATGTGTGCCATGGTACATGGTGTACGGGAAAGGGATGGTGATGCATCGATATTCATCCGTGCATGTTTCCAGTGTGCCTTTGCATCTCGTAGCGCAGAACTCTGGACTACTGTATGCAGAGTGCGTACAACGTGCGTACAACACCTCACATATCTCGCTACAACACCTCGCGCTGGAGTTACGCATCCCACAGACGCATGCGCCACGGAAAAGATCGTGCGGAAACAAGGAGGACACAAAGTTCTGAAACGACCACATTTGTCAACACAACTGCTTGTAGGCGAAAGCAATATCAAACTCCTTTCTTTACTTCACTACTTTCTCTGACTGGAAAAATGGGTCTTAGCTCTCAGGAACTCCAGGACGCCAAGGAAGCTTTCAGTGCGGTAAGCAGAAAGAGCCGTTTTGTATTCCCGGACAAAAAGATTTGCAATTTGGAGCGGCATTCGCACACTTCATGAATTTCATAAATCAATGGCTTCCATTACAAATGCCAAATGTTTTGGCCGCTCGCCTTCTCACAACTTCTCTTTGCCTTGGCTTTTTCTGGTTGATGGTAGATCGACATCAATGGTGATGGCAGACTCACCGCCTCAGAGATCAGCCAGCTTTTCAAGAACCTGAACGAGCCCCTACCCGGCTTCAAGGTCCGCGAAATGATCGCCGAAGTCGACACCAGCGGAAATGGAACCGTCGAGCTGAACGAATTCGTCAATGTGAGTGCAATCGAGTAATAAGCCTATTGTAAATGTGAATGTTGGGCAAGTTAATCCAAGCCAAGTCTCACCTTGTCGAATCTCCTACTTTTATCCATTCGCCGTGGCGAACGACAGTGCTTCGAGCTCGTAACAACATACCAAAGGCCCCAATGCATGCCTTGGTGGTCCGCAATCACAGCACATCAAACAGTCCACTGTTTCGTTGCAGATAGCTTTTGCTGATCCAATTTCCGCGGATTTCATTTCGATCGTGATATCACGTCAATTCTGCTTTCAACCCTAATCGATGAATAAGAATTCGAGCTAGCACAGAACAAAGTATCTACTTTGTTCCCTCGACAGCAGCTTTCCGCGGTCTTGCCATTCTCACTAGTATTCGTGCACTGACAAAATAAGCTGCGAAATTGTTTGCAGAATCACAGACTCAAATCCCATTTGGAGCCCACTCAATCCCCCCAGAGACTTCCACAGCATCCACAAACAATTCCCTCCACCCAGTCTCCCATGTGCTCCCCCATTCCCACCTGACTCCCCACACATCACTCCCCACCTTATGACAATATGTTGTGTTTTTTTCCCGCTGTTCGCAGATGTATGAGAAGGTAAAGACTACCAAGACCTCATATGGCCTGGCCGATGGCGCAAAGAACGCCAAGGTTGTCAAGGAGATCGGTGGTACCTCCGACGCCTCCGCTCACGGTGAGTTTGCCGAGTAGAAAGCGTGGGCAGTCCCTGAGCCATTGGTCAAGGCAATCAATACTGCACCCTTGCGTGCTGTGTGTGGAGCTAGATGCAGGGCAACTTGTCCTGCCTGCAGGAAGCCACTCTATGTGGCACCCTTTTGCATTGTGTCCAACTTGTCCTGCCACCAGTTTCCATCGGAACCCATACATACAGACTGGCTATCTTGTGACAGGTCTCGACTGGCTTCACGGTGCCATTCTTAGTAATGTACTTTTTTATATATTTTTTATATTTCACCATCCAATGGCAGAAGCCAAAGCAAAGGAGAGGGCGTTAGCCAGCCATGGCAAGAGAAAGAAGAAAGAAAGAACATGATCAATTTATGAGCTGTAACACCACCAAATGCGATTGCCCATCTGTATCATACGATTCTGAACTCGGAAATTGGACCTCGTGAATAAACAAGTGCCGAGTCCGAGTGTATGGAACCTCTTGTGTAGTGCTGGGGCTGCGTATCTTGTGTTTTATTCTTGTGTTTTATTCATGAGGTATGATTTGCGTGGCATGTACTATGACGCCACTTGCGCATAGCATATGCACGGCAGTTGGGGAGTGAAGCTAGCCAGCATGGCTGACATGTGACTGCAGCAATAAGCCCTTTGCACAACACCTGATTCCAGCGCAGTCGCATGCCTGAACTTATGCACCCCATACTTGCATTGCACACTGGGCTTAAAATAGGAGACAATTTGATAGCACTGCGTGGTCAGGCGAATGGTGTGCCACAACACGAGTTTTGTTTGTATCATACCGTGATCCCTGAACAAAGCTTGCTTGCACTACTCTGGGCTGGGTTTGGGCTTCACTGTGAGCGACAACAGCTACTGGTACTAGTATTCAGTGAATACTCACCGCCTGCTCGGTATGTTTGCCGCGTTTGGTTATCTGCTTGCCGCCTGTCCAGGAACCAAGCACTCTTTCTCTTCGGAGGAGACCGCATCTTTCAGTAACTGGGTCAACACGATCCTGGGCAAGGATGCTGAGCTGGCCAGCCGCCTTCCCATCAACGAGGACACCGATGACCTCTTCAAGGCCGTCCATGATGGTCTCCTGCTCTGGTAAGCTTCAGTAGGGTCTTTGAAATGCACGCATTGGCTCATACTAGGATTGTGCGATTAGTATGCAATTTGCGTGCAATTTCACCCCGCTTGTCGGCACTTCATTGCAACCTGCTTACTCGCCACGTTACGTGCATGATCGAAGTGCTATCAGGTACGCAGTTCTCCACCTGTTCTTAGTCCAAATTATTCCTCCTTTTCTTCCATGTTGCATGCAGCAAGCTGATCAACTCTTCTGTTGCTGAGACTGTCGATGAGCGTGCCATCAACAAGAAGAAGTTGAACATGTACACCATCCACGAGAACCAGACACTTGTGCTGAACTCCGCTTCCGCTATTGGTTGCAACATTATCAACATCGGAGCCCAGGACTTGATGGACGGCAAGCCCCATCTCGTCCTCGGTCTCACCTGGCAGATCATCCGTGTAAGTGCATTCGTAGGACGTGTTCCTGTGGATTTTACGCTTAGCTAGGCCTTGCATGTGCAAGTTGTCTCAGCTTGGTGATTCCCTTCACTGAGTGTGCCTTGCAATTTCCCATATTTAATTACAACTTTTCCTGGTTGGCGACTCTGGCACAAGTCCTGAAATAACAACTCCTTTCCACTTACCATCAGCCTGCCATGCCAAAGAGGCTAGTGATACTCCACATACTAGGTAACTGTTGCATGCTGAACCATGACAAATATGGACGTAATGTGTATCTTACAGCCTGTACACAGACATGAGCCGAATAAGGGTTGTTGGTGACAGAGATGTAAAATATTCAGTAAAGGTAATATTTTGCGAATGAAATGATCACAGCCCCATATGGTCGGAAGACCGGGAATCTACCAACCAGTTGCGGTCAGGGGCACTGTTTTCCATACAGGGTGTCCTCCGCCTTGTGACATGCTACAATATCCAACTGAAAATGATGTCCTATCTTGTCCTTCGAATTGCAATGAATAGAACACAATGCACAGCCATTATGAACATGCCTGTACACACATCAATTCCTAAATTATTATCTCCTCATCTTGTCCTTCCCTATTGTAGATTGGTCTGCTGTCCAAGATCTCGCTGAAGGAGAACCCCAACCTGGCTGCCCTGCTCAAAGACGGAGAGTCACTCTCCGACCTTCTCAAGCTCTCTCCCGAACAGCTGCTCATCCGCTGGGTCAACTATCAGATGGAGCAGGCAGGCTGCCCGCGCCGCATCAACAACCTGACCAAGGACATTACCGTGAGTGGCCTGTGCACCATATCTTTGCTTTCTGCAGCCAATAGTGCATGAACCCCGCCCCAAGAGTGTACAACTCCCAGATGCCCTGCTGACCCAAGGGAATTTTTGGATGCCATTTTTTATGATGCAATGCAACATTTTCACGGGGTGTCAACGCATCACACGTAGTTCCTATAGCTATTTTCTCCAGGCTTTGCCCACCACAGGTTCGGATACAGACGATAGCACGCGCTCAGTGCGCGTTGCATCATAAAAGTGCCGTCAACTTGAATGCAACATTTTCACGGGGTGTCGATGCATCACACGTAATTCCTATAGCTAGTTTCTCCAGGCTTTGCCCACCACAGGTTCGGATACGTACGATAGCATGCGCTCAGTGCGCGTTGCATCATAAAAGTGCCGTCAACTTGAAATTCTGTAGGGACCTCGCCCATAGTTGAGCTGCACGCTCTTGTGAGGTTATGTGCTCTTCGTGCTTTTCTCAACCAAACTGATTGCCTTGCTCTGTTGTCAGCACTCGCCTTGTGAAATGTGGCTTGATCAAGGTTTATGCTCTGCAATCTGCCATCTCATGTGTAGTGTTTTTGCGTTTCCGATTTGTGTTTGCTTGCAGGATTCCGAGGTCTACACTCACTTGATTTACCAGGTTGCACCCGAGGGTTCCGGAGTTACCATGGCCCCACTTAACGTGAGTTTGCTAATTATGAACTTCTGAGATTGCCATTGGGACCTTTGCCTTTCACATGATCATACTGTTGCTTTTCTTCGGGATAATCTGCTTATACGAACTTGGAAGTTGCGACTTCAGCGGTATTAGTGTTGACGTTGGTTGTTCCAACGAGGAATACTCGCTCCTGCCAAACTTGACACTTTACTGATTCACGACTGCCATCGGGCGTGTTGTAGTAGTACAGCAGTCTGCTCGGTGCACACATCCCGCTTCACTTAAGTGCAGGATGAAATGTTTGAAGTCTAAGCTCTCGGTCGAAGCATAAATCCTTTACAATAATTTTATTAAGGTAGCTCAAACCACTTTGGAGGTGAAACTTTTTTTACAGAAGAAGTGCTGTTTTCTCTGTTCTATTTTGTTCTCTAGCATGGACTGCGGAAATGATATTCCTATGGGAAATACTTGTGCATTTTGTTGAACTTATAGGGCCTCGAAGTTATCCCCCATAGGAATATTATTTCCGCAGTCCATGCATGCTACTGAACAACTTGTGAACAGAGAAAGTTGTTCATTAGCATGCATGGACTGAGTTTGTGTTGACAGGCTGGCGGCTTTGCTTTGGCTGGTGTATCTAATTTCACCCAGCCATCTTATGATTGTGCTGTTTGTTTGTGTTGACAGGCTGGCAACGACCTTTCCAAGGCCGGCTCCATGCTGGATGAGGCTGACAAGATTGACTGCAAGAACTTTGTCCGACCTGCTGTAAGTCTTCTGCTGGTCATTAAATTCGGTTATCCGTATAAGACCAATGAAAGAACAACAAGGACAATCAAGGCTTGTTTGCTGCTACTTCAAGTTTCATGCTCTCGCAATCATCAGGCAACGGTTGTTGCGAGATCATGAAACTTTAAGTAGCAGCAAACAAGCCTTGATTGTCCTTTTTGTTCTGTGTTACGTTCTGCCTCTGCGGTGTTGAGCACTGTCAGCACCCTGGGTACATCCTCCGGTATAAGACCAGTGACGTAGTTTGTACCACGAGTCCACGACCACCCCACACAGCCACCTGGGCATGGTACTCTAGTCTGGGGATGTTGAACGTTGCATGGCTGATCGCAGCCCATTCCCATGCAGTACCCATGCAATCCATACTTGGCAATGCCCAATGGGTGTATTCAGTGCAACTCAATTAGTGTGTGCTCTGATAATACATGCTCTTGATGATAAGTATGGATGCTGTCCGAAACGATGGCGTCCTGATCCATACGGAAGTACACACAGTCCATATTTGGCGCCCTCGATTTGCGCGGTCCTTGCCGCCCTGGAAGTGGGATGAATGCAGCTGAAAAAAGTACATCCATCTAATTGGAACTGGTTCAGTGCGTCGGGTTTCACCAAGCGTAACTGTATGTTGGCATCACAAGTAACTCCATTGCTTTGCACACATGTTGCTGCTACCCATGCGGGTACATCTCATCCGGGTTACAATGTACCTGTGCTTGTACTTCTGTCATATAATGGTGATAGGACAATTGCTTGGAACAAGCCCATTGCGCAAGGACGTTATTTGTACCATAAGCACCCCACGCAGCCACCTGGGCATGGTCGTCTGGGGTGTTGAACAGTGCATTCCTGATCCAAGTGTACTCGCATGCATTACTCATACCTCCAAAATTCGGCAATGCACAATGAGCTTATCTCCCACCAGTGTGCTTTGGGAATTGTGTTCCCACGCCAGTGAACATTCTGCTCACATAGCTCTGACTTCCCTATTTGCCTATTTTTTGCCTTCAGGATGTTGTAAGCGGACACCCCAAGTTGAACTTGGCCTTCGTTGCCAACTTGTTCAACACCTACCCATGCCTGGAGGCCAGGGATGATGGTCTGGGTGACATCGACCTCGGTGACATGGCTGAGACTCGTGAAGAGAAGAGTAAGTGCTCTCTCTCTTTCTCTCTCTCTCTCTGTGTCTTATATTGCATGCATATTTGGCTAATTCCTCGGTTTGCTTTTCACTGCACTGATGTTTCGACCATTATTCCCTAATTGTGCGTGTGTGTTTGCCTGTTCCTTGACACAGCTTTCAGAAACTTCATGAACAGCTTGGGTGTCAACCCCTTCGTCAACAACCTGTACGAAGACTTGCGCGATGCCATTGTTCTTCTCCAGGTACGGTAGCTCACACTCGTGCGATTGTTTACAACCCATTCTCTCCCGTTCCACTTCACTATAGCATCATAGCATCATCAGTCTCTGCGCTGGCGACGATCCCAGAGCACAACGACGTCGTTTGTGCCACCAACACCGCACACCCCCGCACCCTGGGCGCAGCGGTGTGCGATGTTGAGTGGTAAATTGCGAGCACAGCGTCCTCACACGCACGACTCATGCATCCTTGTTAGGCATTTGGGTGTATTGCTTCTTCAGTATATTCCTCAAATCAGTACATGGTGATAATTTGACGAAACACGGCGATGTCAATTTATACAACATATTGGCGGAGATGACACTTGCACAGGCTGAATGATAGTGTGCTATTTTCACTTCCCACCTCCCTGTTCTAGTACTTGTTCTCTTTGGGCTCAACTCACACCATCATTCAGCCTGTGTACGTTTCATCACAATTTTTCCGCCAATATGCCATTTAACTTGACATCGTTGTAACTTGTGCTTCGTCACATTATCACCATGTACTGATCTGAGAAGTAATGGTACGAAAGGCCTCGTGTGCTAATATGTTTTCCTCCAACTAAGTCTCTATTCAGTATATTCATTGTGATACATTTCACAGTTGCTGGTGTTGCCTGTCCAAGCATTTCTCTTTCCTGCTGCTTTTTGTTCAGATCTTGGACAAGATCAAGCCCGGTTGTGTGGAATGGAACAAGGTCAACATGCCTCCGTTCAAGGCCATGAGCGCCAACATGAAGTCCATCGAGAACTGCAACTACCTGGTTCAGCTCGCCAAGGAGATGGGCTTCTCCCTGGTTGGTATCGGCGGTACCGACATCAACTCCGGCAACAAGACTCTCACTCTTGGTGAGTTTGTCCGATGGACTCCTGCCCGGAATGTGTTCTATAGTTATACACCTGTTACACACCGGATTTATGTGCTGTACCTGTTCGATATGCTTCGGTTTTCCTGCCGGAGTGGTAAACTCAGACCTCGCTTATCCGGTCCTCTTTTATTCGGATCCATCGCCATGTGGAAGAATATTGTTACCTCGCCTATCCGGATATTTTTTTGTGGAAGCGGATGTGTGCGGTTGTGCGAGGTCGGACTCTATTCTTCTACAGCTGAAATTGTGTAACCTGGGGAATTGTGGACGTGCTCACTTTACTTTTTACACACCTGGATATAGCGAGCGGCAGTTCTGAACGTGTGCACGCTGCTATGTGCTGTGCTCGTCGTAGGCATCAGTGGCCTCGGTCTGGAGTGTGATTTCATCCTGTACTGGAAACTAACTGTGTGTGTATGTGTTTGTGCCTTGCAGCTCTTGTGTGGCAGATGTTGCGCGCATACACCATTGCCGTCCTTCAGTCTCTGTCCGGTGACGGCAAGGCCGTTTCCGACTCCGACATCGTTTCCTGGGGTGAGTGGTGCATGCTTTCTCTTAGGGTAACTGGGACAGTACAACGTTCTTGGGGTAAATTTGACAGCATTTTTGAGTATATTGACAAGATGGAAGTAAAAATTGAAACCGTTTTTCGGTGAATATCAGAAGAATTATCGTTTCCTGGGGTGAGTGGTGCATGCTTTCTCTTAGGGTAACTGGGACAGTACAACGTTCTTGGGGTAAATTTGACAGCATTTTTGAGTATATTGACAAGATGGAAGTAAAAATTGAAACCGTTTTTCGGTGAATATCAGGAGAAGAATTATCTCGAACTAATTTGCTTTTGCAGTTGTGTTCAGTGACAATCCTACCCAGAGTGGGGACCATGCACGTGTGTTTGGGCCTGAATGTGTTTGTACTACTGTGTACTTGTGCTGCGTGCAGTGAACTTGACCCTGAAGTCCAAGGACAAGACTAGCACAATCTCCAGCTTCAAGGACCAGACCATCTCCACCGCCCGTGCCATTCTCGACATTGTCGACTGCATCAAGCCTGGCGCACCCAACTTCGACCTCGTCGTCGAGAACCCCACCAGCGACGAGGTGAGTGGCGGAATGCCTGGTGCTCCTGATTTCCTCTTTGTATTGCCTGCTGTAACAATGTAGCAAGCCTGGAACATGGTACATTGATAGGCCATGTGCACAGCACACAGTATCCTGTCATGTCATCTGTACTGGTACGCATTTTTCTGGACGAAAAGGTTGCTGACCAGTGACTTGTTGCTTTGCTCATCTACTAGCAGTGCACCATTCATATCGTTCTAGTGCTGGGTTCATGCTTTTCATACACTTCATTGTGTACTCGGACTACTGTATAAGCAGAGATATTCGTCTGGAATTTAATTTCGTCTTTTTCGTCCAAGGAGCTTTTGGACTAAATTAAATGTAGGACGAATATCGATGTGTCCAGCTTTTCTGTACACTCTTATGATGCATGGACGAAATTTTCAACCGGACGAACGCCTTTTCTTTGGAGTTGAACGAAATTATTGACCGGCGAAATTTTCTGCCTCTACAGTATGCAGCCGTTGCATAGTTACCACAAGATCATGTTGGTCGAAAACTCCAGTAAATTGTAGCATTGATCTGTCGGCCCCGTTTGTTCCGAATCTTATCTTTCCCTTCTGTTGTCCTTTCCCTCTACAGGACAAGATGATGAACGCTAAGTACGCCATCTCCATGTGCCGAAAGATTGGTGCCCGCACCTACGCTCTGCCCGAGGACATCACCGAGGTCAAGCCCAAGATGGTCATGACGATCTTCGCCTGCCTCATGTCCCGCTCCTTCCAGAAGAAGTAAGACGCTTGCCGTCACCGTCGTTCCTGCCCCCATGTGGTACCTGGACATGTTTGTCTGTCCTTTAGAACTGTCTCCGGAGGACGTTGTGTGCTGTCCTGTGTCGTCGTCGTTGTCGCTATCTGCTTTCTGCTTCGCTCCCTGTCTTGTCTTCAGTCGTCTACTACAGTTTTAGCTGAGTTTCGGGTTGTTTCTCGCACTCTCTCGTCATCACCCTTTCCCAAATGCGCTGCTTTCCTTCCTCTCTTCGAACCTGTAGTGCATTTTATTTATCGCTTTCCGGGAACCTTTTTTTTGTGCTTCAAATTAACAAGTCCTCTAATCATAACTTCTCCTCATGCAAATTAATTTGTCTTCCACTTTTAAGTTGCTTGTTGCATCACCTGTGAAGGAGATGATGTTTTCTACGCTATCTGGCTTCAAGCTTTTGTCGGTGAGCTCGAGAGTGGATTTTGTCAGTGGAGTGTGGCCCTGTTCTGTCCAGGGGGTGTTTTTTTCTGATCTACAGTTTTGGGTAGACACTGCTTCTTTCGGTAAAAGTGTTCGTTTTTCTTCTCAAACGGGTAAATTCTACTTTCTTCTACCAGGAAAAATTTGATAGAAGCCAGTATAGGTTGGCAGAGGTATGGGTTTTCCAGGAAGATCAAGGAGTTTAAAGGTGTGTTCTCAAATCCTCTCGGGAAAGTTAGAGAGCTGTTCTTATATCCTCTCCGACTTTTAGCAGGCTCTCCAAGCTTCAGAGGTGGTTGAAACTTGGAGATTCCCGCGGTTTGGGATCAGCGCATGCGAACTACGACTAAAACCCACGTGTACATCATGAGTTTACGCAAACGTGCATACTATAATATAGGCGCGATCTTGAGTGATGAATAATATTATTATTCATCACTCAAGATCGCGCCTTTGGCGCTTCATTTTGCTTGACATGTGCAAAATATCTCCGAATTCTTTGAGAACCGTTCCTGAATAATCCCAGTTTCTTCGACTTTTCTTCTTCTCCTCGAAGCTAAAGAATAAGGGCATGTTCGATTGGTAAGGATCGAGATCGGGATCCAGATCTCAGATCCCTCGGATCCTTCAGATTCAACTGAACACTTTATTTTGGACCTTGACTGTTGCCATGTTGAAAATGGCGCTCACAAGGCACCCAAAAGGGTGAACGTCGTACTCATCGTGTGCGTCGTACAAAAAGTCAACAAGCTCTATCTCCATCCACGTGTGCGTACCACAATGTGTACAAAAATGATTTTTACCCGCCATATACGCACAAAGGTCACATTTGGATCCGTTGGATCCGGACAACCCTGCTCCCCGAGGAGGGTTGACCGGATCCAAATCCGAAGGATCTGGATCCGGATTCGACCAATCGAAAGGGTGCGAATCCAGTGGATCGGGATCCCGATCCTACCAATCGAACATGCCCTAAGAACGCACCCTAATATACACAATTCCCTACAGAAGAGAAACATTTCACGTACAAAGTGAATGCTATCTCTGGACATTGTACATTTCGAGTAAAATAGTTTTTCGTCGCTGTAGAGTCAAGTCACTCGAGTAGAGTTGATTGCCATAGTTGACAGCTGGGCTGTTGTAGTTTCTCCTCGTGTCGGTGCCTTGTTCTTTGCTTGTATGGCATTTCAACGACTTTTGTGGTACAATGTCGCATGAGAATTTTGAGTAAAATAAGTATATGTTATCGCATGGTTGCAAGGGCCTTATGGCATATTATTGCCTCGAGGGGCAATAATATGCCATAAGGCCCGCAGCAACCATGCGATAACAAATTTATCACATGGCCCACAGAGCAGACCATTGGGCTGCTGTTGAAATTAGCCCAAATGCCAACACATTATGACCACAATGTATATTGATGTGCTATCATTATCAAAACAGGAAAAATGAAGATATTTCTCCTACACCCTAACAAAAAGTCTGCTACAGGCCATCAGAGAGTATACAGTACTGTAAGACGGAGACAGGAAAAAAAGTGCCGGCACCGCATCGTCATAGCAATAGACATGGCAACGAGAATAAAATACAGCAGAATCATAATTTCAGTTGAAAAATTTAGTGTGCTACCACAAAGAGCTTCTTCATGTTTACACGTGTATCAGGAAGTTGTCAAATACAGTACTGCAACAAGTGCAAGTATTTGACGACTCCCTGGTGTGTAATTCTGAGGACAATAATATTATTTTTCTTCTTTTTTTTCAGCTCCAGATAGCTGTATTTTTCATTGCAAAACATTACTGAATTGTTGTGTTTGTTGTTCAAGCAAAGGTGAAGGCAGAGGACAGATCAGCCTGGTAAGAGTTTTGCGTGGCACATGAAGACCACACACAGGCAGTGACTTTGCGAGGATCTGAAAACGCACGACGCTGAATTGAATTTGTGCTATTTCAAATAATTGTTTGTGATCACAGTACCACTTCGAGCAGAACTGAATCTTATCCACAAGCTTACCGACGGTCAGGCTGCCAACATGACTGAACAAATGATCCCTGCAAGCACCACACGGCAGACGTCCGAGGCCATGTCCATTGCCGGGATGTCCATCTCCAAAAAGAATTCCATCTTCGTCTCAATGCTACACTGCGACTCGTCGTAGAGTCGTACAGGCTACAGAGTCGTCGTAGTCACGCGATCACTGAAATAAACAATTTTTTTGCGGGCAAATAAACTATTTTTTTGCGGGCAATATCGCATATTATTGCCCGCGGCGCGAAAGGTGCTGATTCGCTGGAGTACGGGCAACAATCACGTGCCATGTGATAAGAAGTATTAAATGGACAAATCGTTGGCTTCCCCATGTTCACTACGCTTCAGACGCTGTATAGTCTTGGAACTGGTGGCTGGAAGTGTGAAAAAGCCAACTGCAGTCTTCCAATAGGAAAACATAATAACAAAATGGTGCAGTATAGGATGCCTACAGTAGAGTCGAGCGCCCAAGAACGTTGTTTCCAATGGGTTAGCCTGGGACGTTCTTATTTCTCAGCAATCTGGCTGCATGCGTTCTTATAACAAATAACACGTTCTTAGAAACAATCCGTACTGGATCATATGTATCCCACAAGCTGCCAGAAAACCAACACCGTTGTTCTTAGCTAAGGGGCCGTCCAAGGTTACCAATAGTATTGTCAAAACGAAAAGTTTTCGTTTGGGGTGGGTGGGTTTGAAGGAGTTTCGTAATTATATTGACATCAATATTTTATTGGAATTCGTTTTACCTGCAGAAAAGGTAGGTGGGTGGGTGGGTGCTGAAAAATACTAAAAGTTTTCGTTTTGCAAAACTATTGGTAACCCCGGACGACCCCTAATAGGCTGTGGCGTTCTTAGAATTTCAGGCTGCACGTTCGTGGGCTCCACGTTCTTCAGCGCGCGACTCTACTGTAGGTATCTAGAAACGAACGCAGCCTACATTTATAGGCAATAGGACCACCCGCAACGTTACGTGTAACAGCCTACACACTATACCAGAAATTGTGATTAGAATTTCATGAGATTATTCTTTATTCTCCAAAACCATCAAGACGCTACGGCCGAATGCGTCTGGCGGAATTCAGCCAGACGCTTTTTGGCTGAAAGACGCTGAAAAGCGCTCGGCGGAAAAGCAGCGGGATTCGGCCGTTGCCATGGAAAAGGCGGAAATTTTTCGCGCGTCCTCGGCTGAATGGCTGAGAAGTGTGTAGTGTGACCGCGGCCTAAGAATGTGCTATAAGAACGCAGCCAGATTGCTGAAAAATAAGAATGCCCCACGTACACCACTTGGGAAGAACGTTCTTGGGCGCACGACTCTCCGGTTGGCTAACTCCGTGGACCTCCTCTACTGTAGCTGTGTCATGAGGGGAAATGAATAGGTAGTTTGTATTGCAGCCGTTTTTCGTGATCTAGGATTGATCACACCAAAATAACAACCTGCTCGGGAGAAGCGAAGGACTCCACTGACGAATGGACATGTGCAGAGTGATCGGATTCAGCGGACAATACATGAAAATACTGGCACGCTCAAGGAGGACGCTGATTGGCTGTTGTACAACGTGACATGCAACAGACCATTTTACAGAAATCAACCACTAATTACCGTGAAGTCGTGGATAAAAGCAGCGGTCTATATGTATATGACGTTTCTAAGGAATTTTTGCTTCTATACAAGACAGGTATTTCTATGTATGTCACCACTAAACCAGGCTTACGTCACGTGACGACAGTGTATTTTGAAAATCAGGCTTCTATTCCAAAGAGTTGTTCCGAGAATGGCATTTTACGACCATGGTGAAAAGCCAAAACACCTCGCCCTGCATTTTATTGAACACCAGCAGCCCTGCCGCCCTTGGATAAGGGGTGGTTGCAAAAGTGTTTTCGTCCCTGAAACAAGAATCGTTCATTTCACACCCCCCCCCCCCCGAAATGAATGCAGGTCGCACAGCATTGTGGTTGACAGGAATATGAACAGGTCGCATATTGCCCGCATAAACAAATCATACGGGGTCATGCATCCGTCAATGATCGTTAACCAGAGTTTCTAGTTGGTGGCGAGGTTGAGGAAAGTTGACCAAAAAAATCCATAGTGGCCAGTGGGCAAAGCCAAGGGGAGTTGTACACTCTATGTGCTCTTGCTACAGAGCTCGAAAATATAAAAAAATAAAAAGGCTCAAGAGGGAATTGAACCCTCGATCTTCGGTTTACGAGACCGACGCCTTACCACTTGGCCATTGAGCCATGTACAAGCTCTAAAATAGTAAAGATGCTGCCTGACTGTGTCTCATAGCTTGAAATTCTGAGCTGCAGCAAGCAAACAATTCTGAAAGCTTTGAGGCAGGAAAGAAGTCCGTAGATAAGCACCTGCCGGAAAAATACCCCTTTCATCCTTTTGACTCTGTCTGTTGAAGTCAAGTTCAGCCCGATGAACATACCGCCCGGTACAGTTCGCACATGCAGCGCCTAGCATGTACATCTACAGAAAAGATGACTTCTCCACTACACACAAGTCAGGTCCGAAACTTAGTTCGTGCCCGAAAGTTAGTACCACTAATTTCGAAAGTAAGTACGTACTTTAATAGGGGCCGGGCCGTCCGTGATCATCGATCTTTTTCACGAAAAGAAAAGTTTCGAATATGGGTGGGTGAGGTGAGGAGATTTCGGTTAAAAAAATTGATATTGATAGGAGGGGTGAAACGATTTTAAAAGGGATATTCCTTTAACGGTTAATCCAAAACTTATCGATTACTTATCGATTATTATCAATTAAGCACCACTGACGACAAAACTCACCATTTTGCATCAACTACAATCAATTTTGAAACTTCAAAGAGAACAAAAATAATGGAAACATCGACCGTCGCACAGGCACAAACTGATTCTGAAGGCTACTTGTCCAGCACAGTGAGTTCCGTGAAGCAACCGGAACGGAAGTTTGCGGGTACGAATCAGTGCGCGGTGCAGAGAAAAGAGCCGGGTGTCACCCGATCTAGAGTACATCAGGTAGATCTACCGGGTACGCGTGTAGTGTGTATCCAGAGCATGAGCAACTCGCTGTGCGTGCTGCACGCGTTGATTGACACCTCTGTGCACGCGCGCATCGACTCGTACTCTGGTACATGTGCTGCACGCAGTAGAGTCATGTAGACACACTGCACCTGCCGGATATTTCGTCGTACCGTATAGTATGTCGTACGAAAATGCTGTAGCGACTAGAAAAATCGTAATCGACTAGATTTTTTCGACTAATTAATCGACTAAACCACATAATCCTTTCACCCCTAATTGATAGCTGAACGTCAATCCATTTAACTGTCAAGTCAATAATTATATTTTTCGTTCCAGGGTGTCAGATATGTGACGAGTTGTAATTATTCCACTCCGGATTGTGATTGTTTGCGTCTTTTCGAGCATTCATATTTGCGCGTCCTTTATCCCTTTTATTTGTGGGTGCAGCCAAACGGTTTTGGCCTGGTTCTTTTCCCTTTGACTGGAGAGTCCAGTTGTTGTGTTTCCTGTCACCACATTGTGACAATGTCGTAGTAATAAATTATATTCTAATACAGTCTTCTATGGTCGTGGGTCGATCGTCTTCGGACGAATATTCTGACATATCAAACATGGTGCTTCGAGCCGTCGAGTCGTTTTGCCGCTGGTTGTAGTCGCGGACATCAATCAGTTTATAATTCGCGACAATGACAGACCCCAATGCCAGCGCTGGTCCTGTCAGCGAGGTCGCTTCGCTGAGTCGTCTGAAGCGGAAACGCGGTGGCCACCGAGCGTCCGCAACAAAGACGAACACCCTGGCATTATCAACCCTTGGAAAAATGAAATCTGAGTCATCGACACTGGCAGGGTCTGAACCCATCGTGGAACTTCAGCAATTTGTGGATACGCTGAAGGCGAAAGTTTCCATAATTGCGACACTGGACGAGCAGATTCTGGATTTGGTGGAGGAGTCTGAGATAGAGACAGAAGTGGACACAGCAGATTCGTTCTTGGCGGACATAAAGCTCGTGATCCGACAAGTGGATTATTTCTTGCAGCAGAAATCTGGTGTGGTTGTAGCCCCCAGCCCTTCTCAGCTCAGTGTCTCAGATCAGGTTCAGAGCAATACGAGTACACCACTGATCAGCACTCCGGGACAATTGTGTACAACCAGGCTCCCGAAACTGGAGTTGCCGCAATTTAGTGGTGACATTATGCAGTGGCCCACTTTCTGGGATTCCTTCTCGGCCGCAGTACACAGTCAGTCCGGCTTGGCTAAGGTGGAGAAATTCAACTATCTCCGCTCGTTGGTGCGTGGCGAGGCTGCCGAGTCGATAGGCGGGCTGGCACTGACATCCGCCAATTATGAGGAGGCAGTGGATATCTTGACAACGCGCTTCGGCAACACCAAGAGGATCGTGAGGAAGCACATGGAGCTGCTCCTACACGTGGATCCGGTACGTACAACCGATCTCCGCCGCCTGCGTCGTTTATACGATACTTTTGAGTCGAACATCCGCAGTCTCCGGTCTCTGGGCGTGAAGTCAGAGGCATACGGAGCCTTGCTCGCACCAGTGCTGATGAGCCGACTGCCTGACGAGCTCCGCCTGATTATTAGCCGTGAAGTCGAGGAGGAGAACTGGGAGTTAGACATTCTGTTGCACCATATCCATGGTGAGCTCCGCGCTCGTGAGCGTGTGCAGCTGGAGAAATTCCCGAACAAGGGTCCGGAGGAGAAAGCAGTGTCGGCATCGTTCACACATGGCAGTCCATCGGAGAGTACAGCCACTGCTTCGGCCTTGTTTACTGCAGCAACACCAGGACGGTGTGCATACTGCAATCAGGATCACACCATGAACAACTGTCACGTCATCACAGATACCGGCAGGCGGAAAGAGCTACTAAAGAGTAAGGGTCGATGCTTTAATTGCGCTAAGCCAAACCATTTATCACGTGCATGCAGTTCGAAGGCACGGTGTACATTCTGTGAGGGCAAGCACCACTCCAGCATCTGCGACTCACAGAGGGATATGAGCGGTGCCAGACAGAACCATGAGAGGCATGATGTTGCGCTCTTCTGTGGAGATAGTACGCAGGTTGTCTTGCTGCAAACTGCTAAGGCCACTATCTGTCGACCGGACAAGCCCAAGCAGTGCATCACTGCCCGTGTGATCCTTGACAGTGGCAGTCAACGGTCATTTGTTCGAGAAGACATCTGCACCCAATTGAAACTGCAGTCCAAGTGCCAAGAGACAGTGGTAGTACAACCATTTGGGTCCACAGGTGGAAGCCCCCAAGTTCGTGCCGTGGTGATGGTCTGCCTGAAGCTCAGAGATGGCCAACTCACGGTCCCAATGCTCTCCGTGCCACACATCAGCCCACCAGTCCAAACACAGTACCCTAGCAAGGCTGCTGCAGCATTTCCTCAGTTCAAAGGACTTGAACTTGCCGACGACTGTGCAGGTGATGCCACAGTTGACATCCTGATTGGCGCGGACTTCTACTGGCAAGTAGTGTCTGGCAAGGTTGTCCGTGGTGATGCCGGGCCTGTTGCGCTCAGCACTAGACTGGGATGGGTGCTCTCAGGGCCCATGCCAATGTCAGTGCTACCATCACCAGCAGCTGTGAATCTCATGCATCTTCATGTGTTAACCTGTACTACACCGAGTAACACGCCCCAGCTCACGTCGACCTTAGAGAAGTTCTGGACGTTGGAGTCGATCGGCATTCTTCCCAAGGAACTGTCCGTGTACGAGCAGTTTGAGCAGCGCATACGGTTTGCCAACACCCGCTATGTGGTCGATTTGCCGTGGAAAGAGTGCCATGCAGCTCTACCTGACAACCATCGGCTAAGTGAGCGTCGGCTGCGGTCACTGCTCGAGCGCCTCAAGAAAGAGCCATTGGTATGTACAGCGTACCAAGCAGTCTTTGCCGAGCAGCTGACTTTAGGCATCATCGAGCCTGTTGCACAGTCTGACCCTAACGCCATGGGAAAGGCTCATTATCTGCCACATCATCCCGTCGTTAGGAACGACAAGAAGACCACAAAGGTCCGGGTGGTATTCGACGCATCGGCGAAGACTTGTCAGGGGCCAAGCCTGAATGAGTGTTTGTACTCAGGTCCAGCAATGACCGAAAACATTCTGGACATTATCATCAGATTCCGGCACCATCGGGTGGCAGTAGTTGGTGATATTGAGAAGGCATTTCTCATGGTCGAGCTTGCTGAGTCCGACCGCAACGCCGTCCGGTTTCTGTGGGTGGACGACCCGTTCAGCGAATCACCACAAGTGTTGACGTACCGCTTCACGAGAGTGGTTTTCGGTCTGACATGCAGTCCCTTCTTGCTGAACGCTACGCTCCGCCATCATATCAACCTGTACGCCGATGATCCCGACTTCGTAGCCTCGTTCCTTGAGAACACCTACGTTGATGATCTGATCAACGGAGCTGATGATGATGATACGGCCTATCTGCTGTACAGCAAGATGAAGAGTCGCCTGGCAGTCGGTGGATTCAATGCAAGAAAGTTCCAGTCAAACTCAACGGCTCTCATTGCGCGTATTGATGAAAATGAACGGTCGCTACAATCGCTAACACCACCAGCAGTCGAGCAAGCAGCTGAACCTGTGTCAACAGACGACCAGTCCTACGCTAAGTCTTCACTGGGAGCTGAAGAAGCTGGGTTGTTGGATAAGGTACTTGGAATTCCCTGGGACCGTCAGCAAGATGAGCTAGTAATCAACATCAGCCAAGTTTTCCAGGAAGTAGATGATAAGCCGCTGACCAAGAGACAAGTTATTGCATTGGCGTCACAAGTCTTCGACCCTGTCGGCTTCCTCTCACCCCTCGTTCTTCCCCTGAAGAAATTCTTCCAACAGATATGCCGCATCAAGATTGCCTGGGATGAGCAGCTAACTCCATCATTGCAGGAACTGTGGTCGTCTTTACTTCAAGAGCTTCAGTCGTGCCAACCAATACGAATCCCTCGATGTTACTTTGCTGCTGTCCAGGGTGATATTCACGCCGTGGAGCTGCACGGCTTCTGTGATGCATCCGCCGATGCTTATGCTGCTGTTGTCTATCTGGCTATCCACACCGAGTCTGGGACCCATGTCCAGTTTGTCACTTCGAAGAGCAGAGTGGCTCCACTTGCATCGCAGACTATTCCTCGGCTTGAGCTGCTGTCTGCGCTCGTCCTCGCCCGTCTGATTGTCCGTGTTCGCAAGGCACTGGCACGTTACGTCTCTGTCAGTCGAATCGCATGCTGGACAGATTCCATGATCGCTCTACACTGGATCCGTGGGGACACGCGAGAGTGGAAGACCTTTGTACAGAACAGAGTGGTGGAAGTGCGATCCCTTGTACCCAGCTCAGCGTGGTCGCACTGCCCAGGAACGCTGAACCCAGCCGATCTACCCTCGCGGGGAGTCCAGCCATCCAGCTTCGACGCGAAGCTGTGGCTCAATGGTCCTCCTTGGCTGGCTGAAAAGGAGCTGGTAGCAACTGAGAGTCGGGACGATGATGTGGTGATACAAGAAGCCCATCAGGAGTTGAAGCGGCAGCCAACAACAGCCACACTTGCGACCACCACAGCCAGTCACCCCTCAATTCATCAAATCATTGACATCGAACGCTTCAGCACATTCAGTCGACTGGTCCGAGTGACAGCGTATGTCCGGAAGTTCGTCACCATCTTGCAGCTGCGTCGAACCAACACAGCATGCCAGCCTGTCATCTCTGCAGTTGATCTGAAGGAGGCAGAGGCACTGTGGATTCGTACTTGCCAAGCACAGTTAGTTGCTGATTCCAACTTTGAGAAGTTGTCACACGAGTTTGGTATCTTCGTCGACGATCAAGGTATTCGAAGATGCGGGGGGAGATTGCGCAATGCCGCCCTCACCACAGCGCAGAAACATCCAGCACTTTTGCCACGCGACCATCCAATCACGGCCATGATCGTGAGACGCTGTCATGCTGCCGTCCTGCACAGCGGTGTCAACGAGACACTCACGGAGCTCCGGTCTACCTACTGGATTGTCAGAGGCCGCCAGTTTGTGCGCACCATCGTACGTGGCTGTCAGCACTGCAAGAGGGTGAACACGAAGCCGTACGCTGCATCAACCAGTGCCCAGCTGCCTTCTGAGCGCGTAAGTGGCGAGGAGGCATTCCGGAACGTGGGTGTTGACTTTGCTGGCCCTCTGTATGTCAATGAAGGCGGCAGCAAAGTCAAGGCATATGTAGCTCTGTTCACCTGCGCTGTGAGTCGTGCTGTCCACCTGGAGCTGGTCAGTGACCTGACAACGGAAGCCTTCATGCGATGCTTTCGGCGATTTGTGGCACGTCGTGGGTTCCCGTGTTTTGTCATCAGTGACCACGGCAAGACGTTCGAGGCAGCAGCGCGTGAGCTGTGCAGTATCGCCCAATCTGCTGAATGTCAGCAGTTCTCCGCTGAACACCACATTCAGTGGCAGTTCAATGTGGAGAAGGCCCCTTGGTGGGGAGGCTTCTTCGAGCGACTTGTGCAAAGCGTCAAGCGTTGCCTCCGCAAAGTGTTGGGCAATGCATATGTGTCTGGTGAGGAGCTGGTGACGGTGCTGGCAGAGGTCGAATGTACCCTCAACTCCAGGCCATTGACCTTCCTCTCTACGGAAGAATGGACGGAGCCGTTGACGCCATCGCATCTGCTACTCGGCCGTCGACTTAGGTCCATGCCAGATGCGGAGCATATCCCACGTGCAGCCACAGCTGAAGTCGTACGAGAGCGAGCGGAGCACCTACAACAACTCATACGACATAGCTGGACTCGTTGGCGTCGTGAGTACCTGCTGGAACTAAGGAATGCCCACCGCCAACAATTCAATGCCAACGCCACACCTATTCGCGTCGGGGATGTGGTGCTCATCGAAGACGAGAACGCAAAGCGCCAACAGTGGCCTCTTGGCCTAGTAGTCGAGTTAATCCCGGGTCATGATGGCATTGCTCGTGCAGCGAAGGTCAAAACCGCAACACCGAAGAAAGGTAGCGTTACGCACCTGAAGAGGCCCATCCAGCGTCTCTACCCACTCGAAGTCTGTGCCGAGGAAGCAGTCACGGTTCCGAATCGTCAAGCACCTGAGAATGAGCCATTGCAATCCGTCAGGCCACAGCGAGCGGCGGCAGTACAAGCGGCTGCGTTGCCGATGCAGTTAAGAAACCGTGGACTAATTTGAAGTCAGAATAATTATGAGTTACCCCACAGGTCTGATTGACCACCGCTATGAGCTTATGCAGCTATCATTCAATGCTCATAATGTTCTGGACATGTAATTATTTATTGAACGTGTTGTATCGCGTTGAGTAATCTGTTAATTATAATGTTATTAGACTTGTGGTCAATCGGGGGGAGTGTCAGATATGTGACGAGTTGTAATTATTCCACTCCGGATTGTGATTGTTTGCGTCTTTTCGAGCATTCATATTTGCGCGTCCTTTATCCCTTTTATTTGTGGGTGCAGCCAAACGGTTTTGGCCTGGTTCTTTTCCCTTTGACTGGAGAGTCCAGTTGTTGTGTTTCCTGTCACCACATTGTGACAATGTCGTAGTAATAAATTATATTCTAATACAGTCTTCTATGGTCGTGGGTCGATCGTCTTCGGACGAATATTCTGACATATCAAACACAGGGGGTGGATGGGGGCGGGTCAAAACCAACCTTTTTCGTTAGATGAAAATTATCAATAATGCCGGATTGCCCCTTATTTCCGGACTTTTACCGTAGTAGTTTTGTTGAGCACCCATGTTAACATTAGTTGTTTTTTGTCATCCAGTAACGTCAAGAGTACATAACCCGAGAGTGTGCAACTCGACTATGGGTGCGCACTGTACCCGGATTATCAGACGTATCCTGAACCTGTGGTGGACAACGTGTGGTGGATAACGCCCCTTTTGATCTGGTACAAATGAGTGTAAAAAATTAAAAACAAAAAAAAAACAAAAAAGGCTCAAGAGGGAATTGAACCCTCGATCTTCGGTTTACGAGACCGACGCCTTACCACTTGGCCATTGAGCCCCGGTGTGATGAGATGCAGACAGAAGCACTCAGTTCAAGATCAAACACAAACCACAGTTTCCAGAATACCCTTTTAGCTTCCTAGTATCGTGAAACAGATCCACACTAAAACTGTGCTTACACGAGAGCTTTCCATTCTTCCAACATGTGAGAAAACGCGCATTGTTTCACGAGGAGGGCAACACTGATTGCTTCAAGTAATTACCACCGTTTCCTTATGTCGGTCTCAAAAGAAGAACCCACACAACACAGTGAACTACCGACTGCACTGCATACACATGAACTAGGCACAGAAATCAGCGGCAGAGCGGAGCAGGTACGAATCTACCCGTAGTTCTGTCGAGCACTCATGCCACCAGTTGTCATCCAGTAATCAGCTGGCTTAGTTTCTCTCCACCTCTATCCTTATTACATCCCTCCCCAATTTCATTAATTACTGCTTTCTATCTGCATTCGCCACCTTTTCATTGGGCAAATCTGCCCGTATGGTTTGCAAATTAAAATAAACACAACAACAACCGGCATAGGAATGAGTCATGATGACTACAGCGTGCATGTCGTGTTATGATGGACTCCTGACCTTTGACCAACAAGAAGTGGCCAACCAGTGTGCAAAAAAATTAAAAATAATAATAAAAAAAGGCTCAAGAGGGAATTGAACCCTCGATCTTCGGTTTACGAGACCGACGCCTTACCACTTGGCCATTGAGCCCTGGTGTGACAGGAGCATACCGTAACACTCAGTTCAGGATCAAACACAAACCACAGTTTACAGGATTCTGTTTTTTGGCTCATTGTGCAACAGATTTGTAAAGCTGTGTTTGAATGAGCGCTTTCAACCCTGGTGGAGTTCGATCCGGGTCGAGTTTCGGCCCGCCATGAGCACAGATTGACTGGAGCGTTTACAAGATGCATCACGTTTCGACCGGGTTGACTTCAACCCTCCCACTAGGGGAGGGGCGAAATCGAGAAATCGTACTACACTGTACCCCACTTAGTTGAGTGCTTCATGCTAGGCTTGTACAGTACTGCACAGGCAAACTTCCTGCCAAAGCGGTCACGCGACAACGCAGCAATCTGCAGCACTCTGGAGTACTGTAAGACATGTTATTATAACGAGTAGCAAATTTAACGATTGTCCAAGATTCATAGGCGAATGAGACGATACGTCAACGATCTTTCGGTCTTCAGGCATATCTGCACATACCGTATTATCTCTAATATAAGCACGGTCCTTTATTTTTTCAATGTACCTCCGCCCCGTGCTATTATTGGAGATGTTCCTTTATTGGAGACTGTTCCATTATTATTTCAACCTCATTTCAGAGGCATGTTGCCATGCTAAATTTATATGTCAGACACACACATTTCAGGGTTTTTTCGCCGGTACAGATAATGAATTTACACAGTGTGCTTATAATGGAGACTGAGCACTTTATTTTTTGAATGCCGCCCCAAGGTGTTCTATTATTGGAGACGTGCTATTATTGGAGACTGTGCTTATATTAGAGATAATACGGTAACCCATCTGGGGCATTAAATTTCATTCGTTAAAACGTTAGATTTACTTCCTCGTTATATTTACATGACGTGATTGTCTTATATCATGCCCAGATCCAGTCAGTCTGAGCTCCTGAAAGTAGATCTGCAGGCACAGTTTGCTCATACCGTATCGCCAGCTCTCAGCTTTTGCCTCTATAGAGTTGTTACCCGTCTATCACAAGACCATATAGGGCAGCCATGTTGGTTACAACTCCACTCAACCCCTGCATGTATGGGTCACATGGTGTCGGCCATGTTGGTTCCACTGTCCACAAGCTGTGGTCACTTTCTGCACCGGTTTAGCCACATGACAACAGATGTGGAAGCACTATCACGGCGTTCGCGACGGAGAGGATTTGTCAATTAGAGATACATAGAAAGCCGCAATCAAACTAATCATTAACTTCAGGAAGTTGAATAGGATCCCAGCCAAGTAAGAGTAAAAAGTCTAAAATAAATAATAATGAAATGGAGGGCCCCTCACACTAGCTATCTTTGTTGAAAATGCAGTCACGACGAGAAAGGTAAAAACGTTAAAAAATAGGAATTTGACACGGCATTAGCATCAACGTCTGTACGGATGCTGCTAAGCGAAGTCTTTCTAGTGGATGAGATTAATTTAAGAACAAAAGCTCAAGCTGTTGTCCACCCTGCTGTTTGTAAACAGTGGCCGCTGGGCAGTATGTTACCATGGGACTGCATGCTTGTCCAATCACTGACCTCCGAGAGCGGACTCCCAAGTGCCCACCGAACAGCGACACCGACCTTCACCAGTAGCCGCACTGCTGTGGGAAGCACATCGATGGAGTGTGCGTCCGGCCGTCACGGCGAGCATCTCGGAGCACCGTGTCATGGTTTCGAGCAGCAGCTCAGAGCTTGCTGCGGGACAGCAAAGCTGTAAGATACAAAGAACAGCGGGCCAGAAGGAAATAATGAGTGAATACGGCTGCGCAGTGTGACTGAATCCATCAGAGTTCTCAGGCCATCACTACGCTATACAAGTGCCTCCTAGATCCAGGACATCATAAACCAGCATTCTCTATAAAGCAGCATAATTTCCAGTAGCCAAAATGTACTATTCAAGCACATTGCAGCAGCAAATCAGATCTTTATAAAACTCAGCACCCTCCCTAACCCAGCAGAATTTCCATTGCACAAATGGGGCCGGATAACAAAGGCACCACTGTATATAATAATTATGATAAGTAACTTCACTGCACTTCTCACCACATCACTGCACTACACAAGGGCCTCTCGCTCAGGTTTCATGACATCGCTGTACTATGCAAGTCCCTTGCCCAGAGTACTGATGACATCACTGTACTATGCAAGTCCCTAGTCCAGAGTACCCATGACATCACTGTACTATGCAAGCCCCTTGCCCAGAGTACTGATGACATCACCGCACTATGCAAGCCCCTTGCCCAGAGTACCCATGACATCACTGTACTATGCAAGTCCCTTGCCCAGAGTACCCATGACATCACTGTACTATGCAAGTCCCTTGCCCAGAGTACCCATGACATCACTGTACTATGCAAGTCCCTTGCCCAGAGTACTCATGACATCACTGTACTATGCCAGCCCCTTGCCCAGAGTACCCATGACATCACTGTACTATGCAAGTCCCTTGGCCAGAGTACCCATGACATCACTGTACTATGCAAGTCCCTTGGCCAGAGTACCCATGACATCACTGTACTGTGCAAGTCCCTTGGCCAGAGTACTCATGACATCGCTAACACTGCCGTACACACGGTATAGCCAGCCATGCAACATTGCAACACTTACCATCAGGACCTCCAGGAGGGTAGTTAGCCTCAAGACGCTGCAAGGCACCTCGAAGAATTGCTATATCTACACACAGAAGACGTGTGCACACACACGCACGCACATACGCACGCATGCACGCACACACAGCAAAAAAGGTCACATAACGGGCATAAGATGTCTGTTACATAAATGCACTGTGTCTCTTGCAACTCTGGGCTTGTGTAAGAAAGCCGCGATGATTCAGAGGAACAAATGTGTGTAATTAGGGTTGCCACTTCACACGGATGCTCGACATGAATGAAATACCTGCTGCTCAATTACCTGCTATAAAACACATAAATATACATACATGGACGCACACGCTGGCATGCAAACACACACAGAAACACACGCGGGCACGCACGCACACGCATAAAGATGATGCATGCACGCACACACACACGCACGCGCGCACACACATCATGTGCCGTGTATACGCCCGTCGCAAGAGAAGCACGCAAATCTACAAATGCACACACAAATACATACACACGCACACACTTACCACCAGTTTGATCAAAGTTTTCCAGGGCCACGGTTAGTGCGTGAACGGGTTGTGAGAAGTTCAAGTGAGGGTAATCGGCACCCTCGCCATTGCTGGACATCACATACACACACACGCACACACACACACACACAAACACACGTGCACACACACACACACGCACGCATGGACGCAAGAAGAGAGAAAACATCACAGAAAGATCCGCACGCAGAAACTGTGACAGCTACAAGAAATGCCCTCTCCTTGTGAAACTGCAGTTCCTGTATTTCCCCGAGTGTTTTGTGTACCATATTTCCCTGAGTATTAAATGTCATAGACAAAATTTAACGTGGGCACAAGTTATGCATTTGTCCATGTTACAATATTTTCCTTGGCTCACCATCTGAGTTCTTTTAAATGTCATTGACATTGTCAATGCCCTCTCGAACCTATCAAGCGCAGCCAAAGACGGTGAAGTGCGGATGCTGAACAAAAGCGCTAGGCTGAGTGCGGAGATCTCGGCATTGAAAGACGAACTCGAGCCGGTCCGGCCTCAAGTCTACGATGGTACGACTTCCTTGTCGAAGAAAAATTCAAAAAAAATCCTAAAAGCCAAAGGAGCCACAACGTAGTGCTGAGAATGTTCAAGCCCCACACCAACAGGGTGTACAGCATTGTACCGCGGGTCTGGTGGATGAGATCACGAGAGAAATGCGCGTCCGTTACATGCCCCGTACATGAATTCTGCAGATGGAATACCGAATTTCAGTTGGTGCTAGAGAGATACACTTCACGTTGTTCAATTTCGAAAGTTAGAAAAAAACGTGTGTCGAATCGCTTCTTTCACCACGAGTTGGCCCTCTGTTGCGTTGAAATCTCACGTTGCAACGTGAGATGCGCCATTTTGGCCGTGAGATCTCATATTCAAAATTGGAAAAATGTGATGTGTAAACTCTCTAATAGACACCCTTAGCGAAAAACGTTTCGCTGTAACGGTATTACCGTCAGGGGAAAAATACCGAGACTTGGGTTCGACCTTTAGCAAGATGCACGCTATCTTCATATATTAGGTTGCGTTTGGTTGGGCATTTTCAGAATGTAAATGACAACCATTCTGGAATGGGAATCGGCAAGAATCACCCGACCAAACTAACGCGCCAGAATCAATTAGGAATCACTTGACATAACAATTCCATGATGTCGTTGTGGAACGGCGGCTGTATTTTCTTTTACCCGACTCTAGTTTCCTTGAGAGAGTCAAGGTACTTCTGAGTGCATGATTTGAGGCACTTGAACCTGTTGCTACATTGTTTGGCTCGTGGCAGCCATTATCATTTTTGATTCCGGAATGAGAATGCTCATTCCAGCATGTGAGGTGGAATGATCATTCTCCAAAAAGAATCATTCTCAGCGATTCCCATTCTGGAATCATGTGGAATGTGACCAACCTAACGCACTTTTTTGACCAACCAAACGGGCGAGAATGATTCCGAGTGATTCCAAGTGATTCCCATTTGGGAATGTGACCAACCAAACGTAACCTCAGTACGCTGTTGCCATGAGAATAGCTTATATTTCGTCTCAGTACTTCATCCAACAGTGCCAGACTTCTTACCAACGTAAACTTAGGTCAGCCATAGTAACACTGTGATTGGCCGGAATAAAGAGTCGTACACCGCTCAAGTGCCCATATCGGATCTTAGCAAGCTGTTTGGTGACGTTGTCCGTGATCCCTAGCGTCCTCCTCAGCTCCATTCTCCCTCTGGCCCAATGGATGAAGGGGCAGTTACTGACTTCAATCTAGCCACAGTCGAGGATGTGGTAAGCAGTCTGAAATCTGTCAACCCCTTCAAGACAACGGGCAGCGACCAAATTCCAAGCATCATCCTGCAAAAGCGTTATCTAACCATCGCCCCCACACTGACACGCATCATCAATATATTCATGTCCTCCGGTGAATTTCCCATGTCCTTCACGTTGTCCCACGTCAGTCCACTTTTCAGGAGCGGAGACCCAACTTTGCCGAAGAACTACCGCCCTGTGCCACTGCTTTCAGGTATCTCCTGCATCACAGAAGCATTTGTCAAGAACAAGATCACGCAGTACTTGGACTGCAAGCAACTTCTTCCGTCTACTCAGTTCGCGTACCGAGCGCTCCACTCTACAAAAGATGCCTTAACCTATGCTGTTGATCGATGGCAAATGGCACAGGCAGAGTGCAAATATACCGGCATCGTGTTTGTCGATATGTCGAAGGCCTTTGACAGCGTCAGGTATGAGCGACTCGTTACTGAACTCTTCAAACTAGGCATCTCGGGAGCGGCACTCAACTGGTTCTGCAGTTACCTGTCTGGACATACACAGCAGATCAAATTGCAGGATCAGTTGTCAGGCACTGTTCCTTGCTCTCGCGGTGTTCCACAGGGCAGTGTCTTAGGCCCACTCCTCTTTTTAATTTACACTGCTGACGTCAAGTCAACGATGCCTCCGGATGTGGCAGATCAGGAATTCGCTGATGACATCGCTCTCGACTGCTCCAACGCGTGTCCCAAGCAAGTCTGCGAGTCCCTGTCGTCTGCAGTGACCAATCTCGCCAAGTGGCTAGATGACATCGGCCTACTTCTGAATGCCCAGAAAACCCAAGTCCTGTTTGTGAAGCCCCGAGGGTCTGCTGATGTTCAAGAATGGGTGCGTAGTCGAGGACAGCCACTGGAGGCAACACCATCCGCAAAACACCTGGGTGTTGTAATCGACAATGACCTCTCCTGGTAGGCACATATCACATAATCAGCCATGTCACACGAAAGATCGGGCCAGTAATTGGACAGCTATGGCGACACGGCAGGTCCCTGAGCCTAAAAGCCCGCCAAGTCTGGTATGTCAGCATGATACAGGCTCATCTGTCTTATCAAGTTATGGCTCCAATTGCTTCTTCTCCAGTCTTTCAAAGCAACTCCTGGATAAACTCCACGGGCTGTCAAACGTCGGTGTCAGAGCACCCTGCAGCAAAGGACTCTGGTCCCGAATCCCCCCCCCCCCCCCTCACTCTCTCTTATTTTGCATGCTTCACACTCTCATGTAATACTTCTTTCCATTTTTCGTCATTTTGTGAGAGCTTGGACAATCCACTTGTCCAGGCAAGAAGGCAGCAATGCATGTTCATTCTGGCGAAGTAAAAATAAAATATACCAACCAACCGACCGACCTACCAAATAAATAAATTGATTCTGCCCCAAGCCCTGGACACCTCTGTGGCACGTACGGTGTCCTCCAAGGACTTCACCTTGTCGTGAGCAATGCACACTCAGGAATCAGTCAGTCAGGACACAAAGGGAGATGATCACACAGAGTGTGAGTGGGGCTTGGTGAAATCCGACCCAAAGTGTAAAACTGGCGCCCTGTACTTCAGTACTGTCGGGTGCCGAAGAACTGGGGGGGGTCAGGGTTCTAGCCTAGCCCGTTCTTTTTGTTAGCGAACACAGCAGTTTCGTTCTTATTCGACTGTACAGTCTTACATGTGCATTTATGCAGAGTTATACGTCTGAGTGTACATTATAGTGTACATTACGGTTCGCGTTCTTATCTGCAAAACATCCAGCCTAGACAGTTCTTAAAAATTGGTGAAATTCTAGGTTAGCTGTTCTTCGGCGTTCCGTTCTTCGGCGGTCCGTTCTTCGGCGGTCCGTTCTTCGGCGGTCCGTTCTTCGGCGGTCCGTTCTTCGGCGCCTGACAGTACTGTAGTTCCGATTACATCATCGTATCTGTACATGTGTACGTCCGGCCGCATCCGTGCCACTTCCAGGGCATCGATGGCCGTGTAAATCGGACACGATAAATGTGCACTCTGGGTCGGATTTCACCGAACTCAACTGTAGCTAAGAGCTATCACTCACCGCATATTGCTGGAGAGGATCGCGAGCAACTCTCCCGTCCTGGAGCTCACGAGCGCTCCACCGCTCGCACCGCGATTGACGCCGGCACTCGTCTGCAGTGTACACACGCATTCCCGCATGCACACAAACACACACACACACACACATCCGCACACACGTGCGCGCGCACACACACACACACACACAATGTGTATGCAGCCATGCCACACTTCTCTGCAACAGTTCCGAACAACGCAACACCACAAAATTTAGCTCTCCATACAAGATAGCAATGAGCACTTCTGGTGCATTCTACATTAATTCGTTCACTATCAAATTTCGCCATTGAGTCAGTTTACAGTATACAAAGATACTTGCGAACTTCGTCATATCTCTACTTTCCTTTGGCCATTTTTCACAAACAGCCACTCTCTGAAAAGTTACTGATGGCAAGTATACTCTGGTGTATCTACACACACTCCTGGATACTCAAGCACCAAATACCATTCCTGTGCGCCGTGCCATAGCATAAATGATATTTTCCGAACTCAAAACAAACACCGTTATGGGTGGCGCGATCTGTCATAAGTAGCTCGCCGAATTGTACAATCGAGCCTTGGAGAAACCAGTCAAAGTTCTCGTGAAAGTATATAAAACCGGAAGGATTTCCACCTCTATACGGACAGGGATGTAAGAAGATACCAGAGTTATTCTCAGCGAAAGAAAAAACTCAAACGCTTCCAATGTGCATTGTTGATCAGCAGTAGCTTCGAGCCTCATCTTGGGTCAATTCTCCAACCAGAAGTACCCCCCCCCCCCCCCCCCCCGCCTCACTCTTCACCCCTCCGGTCTGCAAGCCACGCAGGAGTCCATTGCGCGACAAAACAAGGACTGATTTATTTACACAGAGCATGCGCATTACAACACAGATGAGACAGAGACAGAAGAGAAACAATGCTGCAATAGTTACAATACACTACACAACCCCCCCCCCCCCCCCCACACACACACAGACACACATACTTACCTGATACCAGGCCACATCACTGTGAACATCAGCAACCGCAGCGGATACACAATGTCTGGTTGCGTGCACACAACTGACAATGCCACTGGTAACTGTCGGCGACGGAATGGAGTCCGGTGCCAGCAGTGGATAGCCGACAGCTAGTACCGGGTGACCGGGTGATACACCTATAGCAATGTTAGTGTCATACACATACGCATACATGCACACACACACACACACACATACACACACGCACCTTTGACCTTGACCTTGCACACACACACACACACACGCATGCACACACACACACACACACACACACACACACACACACACACACACACACACACACACACACACACACACACACACACACACACACACACACACACACACACACACACAACATAACAGTTACATACACAAGCCATGTACGGCCGTCACAAGAGAAGCTTGCAAATCTGCAAATGCACTGGATGTGCATCCATAGATTTTCTGTTATAGCAACGATAGCGGACAAGATCTGAATGAAACAGATCAAGACTAGTGCCAGATAGCTGCACAACTGGCAAAGCCATGTGAATCAACCCCCCGATGCACACCTGGTCGACACCACCCGGAGCATACCTCAATAGGACGCTCAAGACAGTTACCTAGCTATGCACCCCCCCCCCCCCCCCCCCTCCCCATACACACACGCACATGCATGCACCCACGTACCAACACTCACCTATACCGGACCTGATGTGGGTTCCTCCACCACAGGTCCAGGGATACCGTATTATCTCTAATATAAGCACAGTCTCCAATAATAGCACGTCTCCATTAATAGAATTTGGGGTGGCATTCAAAAAATAAAGTGCTCAGTCTCCATTATAAGCACACTGTCTATCGGTACCTGGTAAAATGCATGTACCGTATTATCTCTAAAATGCAGTACCGGCGAAAGCCCCCTGAAATGTGTGTGTGTGACATGAATTTGGCATGGCAACATGCCTCTGAAATGAGGTTGAAATAATAATGGAACAGTCTCCAATAAAGGAACGTCTCCAATATTAATAGCACGGGGCGGAGGTACATTGAAAAATAAAGGACCATGCTTATATTAGAGATAATACGGTAAGTGGGTAGTATGGCTAGTTTTTTTTTACCAAATGTAATGAGTACAGTCAGACCTCGCTTATCCGGTCTTCTTTTATCCGGATCCCTCGCCATCCGGAAGAAAATCATTGGTTACCGATTTACAGCATATGCCATGCATACATACAGTATGCGTGTTGGATTATCCGCTTCCCTCACGTATCCGGATATTTTGAGGAAAACGGATGTGTGCGGTTAAGCGAGGTTTGGCTGTTGAAATCTTTTATTCTCACGATGGCCTGTGGCCAATAAAAGGAGACTGTATTTTGATCATTGTATCCTTCTTCTTGTTTTCCATTCTGCACTAATTACTTTCCTGACGGATAGTTCGCTGCGCATGCCTACACTGATTGTTGATTTTCACTAAAATTATTTTTCCACACCTACGTGGGTGTGCGTGCATACTTATAGCTGTCCTAGATCCTAGGTCTAGTCTTGTATATATTATGACGTAACTCGTGTTGGTAGATCCATGTCACGTATCCAGAATTTTTTGCGTAGGTTTTTTTCTTCAGGTCGTTGAATGTCAGTTTCACATCAGTCAGTTTTGTGCTAATTGTTGCACATTTTGACTCACCATTATCTGGCTTATAATCGTTAGTGTTGGACAAAACGGATAACTTGTAAACTTTTGGTCCTTTCTTTTTTAATTTTTTTGTAACATTAAATTTTTTGGTGAAAAAGGAGAATGACAAAATGTTACGAGGTATGACTAACTGTCCACCAACGTAACCAGATCTTAGTCATAACTCAAAACATGTTGTCCTTCGCCTTTTTCACTATAATTTAATTGGCTCACCATCCGAGTTGAATTAAATTTGTTCTTGAACTAACTTAATCTTGAGCGAGCGAGATGGGCAAGTCGAAAAAGCAGACCCAGTCACCTAGTCCACTGGCATTGCAGAGATGTATGATAGACCAGCCAGTGCCTCAGCATTACCGAGGCCAATCCTATTGCCGGAGATATTTGGTCGTGCTGGAAGCGAAGATTTTCCGGCCTACGTCAAACACTTCAATGATGCAGGCCACCTGAACAGGTACAGCGACAAAAAAATGCTGTTGGTGCCCAAAAGACTTGTGGGTACGTCTCACGGCTTAGTAGAGAATATTCTCCAATCCGATGCGGATATTTCGTTCGATGAGACAGTTGAAGCGCTCCGCAGTCGCCTGGAGCCACCACAACAGGCCCAAATGCATGAAGCGGCTTTACACCAGCGCCTGAAACTTGCACATGAACCCCAGTACATATATGCCATGGAGCTCCGCCGCCTTGCTGCCAAAGCTTATCCAGGACAACAGGGCCCGTTACTGGAATCGATGCTGCTGCAGATTTTCATTGATTGTCAGCCAACCAAAGAGATATGCCTGGCACTGTCTTTGCCACGACCAGCAAACATTGTGTTGGCTGTCCAAAAAGCCATGGAGGTCTCTGCCATTTATGCCAGGGTGCCTGCCATCGAGTCTCACTTCACTCAGGCTGTACATGTTGGTGACGCATACGATGGCTTGGCCTACGCCGCGTTCCCGTTACGCAGGCAGCCACCTGCTGTACCTCGTGCCTCTGTTGCCACGGCAAGTGCCTGTTGCCAAGGCAAGTGCATATGGCGTCGGGGAGCGTGATCAACTAGCCCCAGTACTCGAGAAATTTGATCAAAGAATGACAGATCTCGAAAAGAGACTCGGCCGTTCGGAAATTGTCGCTCCACAAACACAAGTTCCTGCAGGAGCAAGTCACGGTGGCCAGTGTCGTGGCAGTAGCAGTGGGTGGGGACAGTTGTATGGTCGTGGTGGTCGTGATGAACCACCAATTTGTTTTGGCTGTGGAAAACCTGGCCATTTTGCTGTAGATTGCCCACACAACCCTTGGCGCTCGGGAAACTGAGTTCGACTGGTGGTGTGGGACAACTCCCAGTCGTTCACGAGGAGCCATCAGATGAGGTGCGTATCGAGGCTGTATCGTCTGTAGTCCCTACCCTAGACCTCAATGTTCAAGGCAAGAGTGTAACTGCGTTAATCGACTCTGGCTTTGTGAATCTTGATAGTTGAGAGTATGTGTGTTACACGTGTCAAACTACTTTTACACTGCACATACTTCAAGAAGTAACATCGACGTCAAATCGAAATTCTTTCAGAACATCACTGACAGTGGAGTTGTACCCTCTGGAAGGATATTACCAAGGGTTCATACCCCCCCCCCCAGAGTGTGCAACGCCTGATCCAGCTCTACATAGGGTCTTGGTCGAGCGGAATCGGATCTTCGCGTCATACTACCGTGCATATCTGAGGGGAACCCGGAGAGTCCCGGGACTCACGGATCAAAAATAACGGTACCCTGCCTCGAGACCGGCCTTGCGCTGGTGTGGAGCACACTCTACGCATGGCATCAGAAGATCCGACTACACTCGACCAAGATCCTGTGCAGAGCTGGATCAGGCGTTGCACATTCTGGGGGGGGGGGGGGGGGGGGGGTATGTACTATTGATATTGCAGTAAAGTAAAAAGTAAATTATCGTGTCCGTTCCCGAAGGGAACTCACGACGGCCGCTAACACCCGGTAAACTTTAGCGGCAGTGTAGTTGGGGTATTAGAGTGTAGCTCATCTTACCACTAGATTTCTGCATTGGTAGTTCATCCAGGTGGAGACGTTCATAATCAGACTGGTTTAGCTGCAGAATGGCTAGATCAACTCCACTATCACTGCCAGTACTTGCCAGAATGCTTGCTACGGCACTGCTGATACTGTTGCCACGGGGATGGTCGTGTGATGATTGGTGCGGGTGGTGCTGTTGCCGGTGGCGATGGTCGTCGTGCTGACAGATCTGATGCTGCTGCTGCTGATGATGATGATACTGTTGCTGCTGCTGCTGTTGTTGCTGGACGTCGTACTGCCACTGCACCTGCTGGTGATTCGGTTGCCGGTGCGGCTTGATTGGTGTTGCCCTGGCAACTGTCACATGCATGGCGGGTTGCTCCAGGCTGGCCTGTACGGCATGGCGACATGTGAGGAGGAGGCGCTGACGACGGCTGATCACTACACCACTGGACCACACGGACCCGCAGTGCACGGACACGATGCTGCTGTCAAAATAGTCGCCGTCGTCACTCTCACCGGTGACTCTGCAGCGGCAACTGTAGGTGCCACCAGTGGTGTCACTGCTGCTGCTGCTGCTGCTGGAGACAGCTGATGGCAGTCTCTGTGGCACACAGCGCTCGTCTGAAAATTCAGGGAAAAAACAGGAGCACACACACACGCACGCACCCACACCCGCATGCACGCATGCGCGCATGAGAACTGACGCACAACAAAATCTTCACCCACAACGATACTAGAATCGTCAATGAGAACTTTCCCCGGTTGAAGCACATACTGCTTCTTCTTGCAGCGCAAGTGGGAAAGAACAAGTCTGTTGTTGGTGTCTGGGAAAGTGTTAAAAAATTACCCATGCACAAACACAAGAATGAAGCCACTTGGACACGGAACAGAGCATCATCTCACCGCACCTGCATGCACTGCTTGCGATGAGTACGACTCCAGCCGGGACGACGGAGCGCCTGCAAGCGGAGTGGCTTCGGGCCGCGGCGTATCACCACCGCCTCGTTGCAGCGCGCGCACGGCTTGCAGCAGTGGGGCGGCGGGACACACTGTGCTCAAACCCAGCCAATTGCCCGGCTGTCCGGTCAGGCACAGGGAGAGGAAGCCAGCAAGTCGTGGCCTGCAACAACAGGCAGCCAAAGAGAACAGAAGCGGAACCTGGTCACGTCAAGTGTTCAACACCCCATGAGCTACTGCCTGTAGGAACTCTATCCCCGGAGTGTACAAATGCCAGTACAATAGAGAGGTTAAGATTCACGTTATTTTTTTGACGTTTCGCGAAAGTTCGGCTCGTGCTATTTGGCTCGCACGTCGAAAAACAACGCGAGTGACCTGCAGCTCACGCCGAAAGTTGGAGTTTTACGCCAAATTTGACGTGAACTTGCACCGCAGGTCGGAAATAACGTGCATCTTAACCTCTCTACTCTCTACCCAGTGCTGAGACGGCAGAGTTTCACATCGCAGCTCATGACCTTGTTTGATAGGCTACACCGGCAAACAGTACAGGGAATAATTAATTTACTTTCAATCTTTTGCATAGCAATTTTGCTACGCAAAATCAAACTTAAATACCAATTCAAAAATGTCACGTAGCAATTTTCTTCAACACTTGACAACCGTCCTTCCCGAGAGTTGATTAGAGTGCAAGTTCCGACCACAAGTACACTGCAACGCCTTAGTTGCAAACCTAGCCTGGTGCCAGGATGCATAGCTCAGCACTTTCGAAGTTTTGTGCATCTATTGTATCCCTAAGACTTAGTAAGAGACACACCCGGCATGTACACTGTGCATCACAGGGTACAGTGAATAATCAATATGCATTGCAGTTTTCTGCGACACATTTCTGAAGTTGCTTCGCACCTCAGAAAAATTGCGGAGCAAACTGCGATGCGATACCGGTTAAATTATTCCCTGCAGTACAAAGTGACTACCAGCAGAGAGTTGAACCCAACGCAGAAGGTTGTGTACAGTCTGGCAGCCTCCCGTAGAGAACAGGCGGTGTGCACGAGTTGTCATGGGAAGTGAAGTAGTTCGACCGTCACAGACTCCAAACACACACACGCAAACTGAAATTGCATGCCCCTTGGGGATTACGTAAGCTTGGTAATTCTTGCAGGGTGACGGCAGCTGAGAATAAAAACAGGACTGCCTCAAGAAAAGGGGAAAGAGAGCTACAGTAAAACCTGTAACTAAAGACCACCGTGACTAGCGACCAGCCTGGTACTACAGTAAAACCTGTAACTAAAGACCACCGTGACTAGCGACCAGCCTGGTACCACAGTAAAACCTGTAACTAAAGACCACCGTGACTAGCGACCAGCCTGGTACCACAGTAAAACCTGTAACTAAAGACCACCGTGACTAGCGACCAGCCTGGGTACTACAGTAATACCTGTAACTAAAGACCACCGTGTCTAGCGACAAGCTTGGTACCACAGTAAAACCTGTAACTAAAGACCACCGTGACTAGCGACCAGCCTGGTACTACAGTAAAACCTGTAACTAAAGACCACCGTGTCTAGCGACCAGCCTGGTACTACAGTAAAACCTTTAACGAAAGACCACCGTGTCTAGCGACCAGCCTGGTACTACAGTAAAACCTGTAACTAAAGACCACCGTGCCTAGCGACCAGCCTGGTACTACAGTAAAACCTGTAACTAAAGACCACCGTGACTAGCGACCAGCCTGGTACTACAGTAAAACCTTTAACTAAAGACCACCGTGTCTAGCGACCAGCCTGGTACTACAGTAAAACCTGTAACTAAAGACCACCGTGACTAGCGACCAGCCTGGTACTACAGTCAAACCTGTAACTAAGGACCACCGTGACTAGCGACCCGCCTGGTACTACAGACCACTTCGCCTGCCACGGACGGTCTCACGTTCACATAATGGTGGTGCAGTGCAAACCTCTAACTAAGGACCACCTGCCACTAAAGACCGCTTTCTCCGGCCCCAAGGGGTGGTCGTTAGTCACAGGTTTTATTCTACTTCAGAGTTATTTCACATCTGACACATTACGGTCACTACGATATTGACCGTACCACCTTTTGCCCCAGGCACCCCGTGAATCAATAAAACACATTGACCTGGGCTCGAAATTTCCAACATTTTTCAGCTCACGCACCCCTCCCCTGTGAACCACCTTTTGCCCCAGGCACCCCGTGAATCAATAAAACACATTGACCTGGGCTCGAAATTTCCAACATTTTTCAGCTCACGCACCCCTCCCCTGTGAGTAAATTGTACTTCAGATAGCTGACCGTACCACACTGAAATACCTTCCGACGCCCCTGAGGGATTAGATGGAACCGCTAAACACAGCTTTCAGTATACAGTGATACACTCATACCTCGATTATCCGGGCCCAGGAGTTACAGGCACTTTGGTCTACCGGCCACCCTTCGGGCGAGTTTCAGTGGAAATATTACAACTCTGCTGTAACTGTTGGTAGTAATAGTGACGTCATATCTTTCAGTGTACTCTAGGTACAATCATACCTGGGTTATCCGGACCCCGGAGTTACGGGCACTTTAGTCTACCGGGCACCGTTTGGGCGAGTTTCAGTGGAAATATTACAACACTGCTGTAACTTTTGGTAGAAATAGTGACGTCATATGCCACATCCATGGCCTTTCTCCGTTAAAATGTATGTTATGATTCGGAGTTATGGATATTTCAAAGTCACGGACAGTGCCCGGTCCCGGATTGCCCGGATAGTAGTACAGTGGAGATTGGATATAACGACACTCCTTCGGGAGAGAACAAAATGTCACTATATTTGATCTGTCACTAAACCCGATCTTCACAAAGGACTTGGGCAACAGGATTGTGTCGCTAAACTCAATCTGTCGTTATAGTCAAGGTCGTTATATCCGATCTCCACTGTAGTATTTATTATTTTAATGGGGAACCCTACAGACGGTGTCGTCTTATTACAGGGAACCCTATGAATGATTGACACAATTGAACAAACTCTAAGCGAGAGGTAGCGGTACGGCAGGCAGCAGGTGATTAACTGAGGTATGAGTGCACTACGTACCTAGCTTGACACGTCAAGAGCATTCCGCCTTCGCTGCCCAGAACGCACGGCGCGTCCGTCAGCACCATGCTCACATCATCGACGGGGCATGCGTTACAACCGCCGCCATTTCCACCAGCCGTGCTGCTGCTGCAGCTGGTGCTGCTGCTGTTATTGCTGCTGGTATGCGATGCTTGCGGCTGTGATTGCTGAGCAGTACCAATCCGGAATGGATGCCCGTGGAAATGACGATCAACAGCGTGCGGCAGACCATCACTACGATGCGACTTGAACAGCGGCGTAGAATCCACAGGCGTAGGCTTACACGCGAGACGATCGCACAGATGTAACGCTGCGTTTTCTCGACTGCTAGTGGAAGCCTGCAGAAATGCTGCCTTCTCATGGAGTAAACATGTTCTCAGCACTGACCCAGTGCTCGCAGCGACACAAGACGACAGTTGGCAGCGGTAGAGATGGCATTGCTCCACACGAGCGCCGCAGTGTTGTTGACGTGGTTGGCCATGCACTGGCAGTGCACAAGTAGTTCCGCGACGCCTTGTTTCGTCTGTGCACGTGCCACCGTCGTTATCAGAGCTGTACGCGGCAGTGGATTGTACCGATGGTGGCGCTGATGTTACTGCTCCCGAGACCGGTCTTGGCGACGTGTCTGTCCATGTTCTGGTTCGCAGCACGTTGCTCACCACACCGCGCGTCAGAGATGGTGAGAATACACGTGGACAAACGTCAGCAAATGGGGTGGAGACGAGGCAGACGGGCATGCCCTTGCGCAGCGTGCCGACACTGCACTCTGCCACGCTGGGAACTCTAGCGCCACAATAGGTACAGACAAACAGACAGACAGACACATGCACACACACACACACACGCACACACACACGCGCACACACACACACACACACACTCACCACACACACACACACACACATACACACACACACAAACACACACACACACACAAACACACACACGCACACACACACACACATAATGAAGCACAAGCAAGCACTGGTGAAGAGGTATTCATGGATAATCATAATTATCTTCTCTCCTGAATTGAATAATCCAATGCCTGCGGCCAAAAGACAATGAAAGTACCGTATTTCCCAGAATAGAACCGCATTAGTTTGTAGTTTGTAGAGTATAAGCCGCGCCCAGATTTGTTTTGTCATGAAATACAGACATCTACCCTGTTTACATGTATCATCGGTCGACCGTCGTAGTATGAACTGCACCGACTTTTGTTGGGATGCATTACAGGTGGTTTGTAGTCCGGCAAGTATGGTACCAAGAGTCCACAATCCCTGAGGTGTGTGTATGTGCGTGTGTGTGTGTGTGTGCGTGCGTGTATGTGTGTGTGTGTGCGTTCGCGTTGCCGGTGGTTGCACGGATCCGATATCTGTCAAGAATGGGCTGCGCCAAGGGTGCGTTATGGCACCTGTACTGTTTAACTTGTACTTCGGCTTAGTTATTGAGCGTTGGCGATCCCTTCTCGTTGAGCGTGGAATAGAGTCTGGTGTGGACTTCAGCTTCACAATTGATGGCCAGCTGTTCCCTCGTGTCACTAGGCGTCGTCCCCACTCCGAGTCCGGCCATGCTGATGACTTCGAGTTTGCGGATGATGCTGTACTGCTTGCTACAACTCGCAACGCAGCCGATCAATCCCTGTGTGCCTTTTGTGAGGTCGCATCCAGCTTGGGTCTCACAGTGAGCATGACCAAGACCAAGCTTCTCGTTGCAGGTTTCGGAGTTTGCCCTGCTGATTGCTCTGATTTGGTCATTGGCAGTGATAGGGTTGAAGCAGTCACCTCATTCCCCTATCTTGGTTCCACCATCACTCCAGACTCGCGGTCGCAAGCGGACATTCGGAGCCGTCTAGCAAAGGGTGCAGGGGCCTTTGGTGGTCTTCGGCGCATCCTACATGACCGGAGCCTGAACCTCCCTACCAGGCGCCACCTGTATGTCGTTTGCGTACTGTCAACGGTTCTGTATGGTTCAGAATGCTGGACGCCGTTGAAGGCAGATTTAGATAGAATGGACCGGTTTCACCATGCCAACATTCGCTCCATCCTTGGCGTATCGCGAGGCCGACAGTGGGAACAGCGCATCTCTTCACAAGAACTGCGAGCACAGTGGGGTGATCCCACACCATTGTCACGCATGGTGCAGCAGAGACGGTTGGAGTGGCTTGGGCACCTGGCTCGTCTTGATGACACCAGAGTACCGAAGCAGTTGCTGTTTGCCTGTCTCCCTCAGTCTCGGCCATTCTGTGGACCTCGTCGTCGCTGGAAGGACACCATTCACACGGACCTATCCGTGGCTGGAGTGCGTAACTGGTTTGAGTTGGCAAGCGATCGTGGAGAGTGGCGTGGAGTGGTGACAGCAGCAGGTGAGGACAAGGAACCCGCCCCGAAGAGCATCGAGTGCCCAATCTGCAACCGTCTGTTCCGCCGTAGTTCCGACATGGTCCGTCACAAGTGTTCAGCAATCCGTCAGCTCCCGGTATCGGAGCAGCCTGGATCAGTACAGTGTCCAACATGCAACCGATGGCTACGTAGCAGAGGAGGCTTTGCGGTGCATAAGTGTCGGCTAGGCGATGTCGACCAGCCGCCGGCCCCTGCCCCTGCTCCTCTTGTTGTTCCTGGTGTAACTTGCACCAACTGTCAGCGTTCATTTAAATCGGCTGCGGGTCTCAAGCGTCACCGTTGTGGAACCTGTCCAAAGCGCCCTACTGTGGCTGAACGCCAACAATTCAAGTTTCACTGCCAAGTTTGCCACAACCGACGGTTCCGGAGGCGGCAAGATCTGGAACGCCACTTGGAGCATTGCCTTCCTCCCCCCTAACCTCTCTGACAGTACCTCCCTTTGGGGAGCGGCGTGGCCATTTCTGGCAGCTGTCAATAGTAGTAGTAGTAGTAGTGTGTGTGTGTGTGTGTGTGTGTGTGTGTGTGTGTGTGTGTGTGTGTGTGTGCCTGTCTGTCTGTGTCTGTCGGTGTGCGTGCGTGTCACATTAATACAGGCGCTTCATACCTGAAGTTTACGTTTGCAGCGCCAGTTCTCACAGATGGCTGTGCCATGCGGGGGCTCACACGCAAAACGAGGAAGTCCGACGCGGAGGAAATCGCTTCCTCTGCCTGCACCCTCTCCTTGTCCGAATCGCCGTTGGAGTCGCTGGACTTCCCTGCAGCGAGGGCAGTGAGAACAGTGCGGAGAGCCTCCCGGTGCCGGTCCACACGGATACGCCACAATGGCCACGCCGTGTGCCACACCTCATCCCCCGTCCCAGGCGTGTCACGTGTCCTGCTGCTGTAGCTGGTATGCTGCTGGTCATCCAGGGCTGCAGGCTGTGTGCGAACCTCAAATGACGTGTGCGGGGCATATGCCTCGCGTACATTCGCAGTGGAAACTCCATTTCCGAATCTCCAGTCCAGTTTTCCCGTGGGCACGCCAGGATTTTCCAGTAAATTCGCACTGGCTAGCACCAGACATGGTCTGGAACACAGCAGGAAACCGGAGCTGCCGCCAGCTGAGGTTTGACCAGCTGATGCTGAACCCGTAGTGGGAGTCCTCCTGGGCTGACTCCTCACAACAACGCTTCGAGCGAGCAGCGATGGAGCAAAGCAGCAGTCCTCCGCATTGCAGGGCTCCTTTGATGGCCTTTCCATTACGTCGACCGCCCTGGCCTGGGACTGGGAGCAAAGAAGTCCGGTTCCTGAATACTGATTCTAACCTGCTTGCGCCTACATACACCGCAAATTATTATTTGAAAGAAAAAAACAGCACTCAGAAAATCTCTTTGATCAGAATGATTTTTCTGACATGTCCACGGACCACGTGGCCACGTGGACCCAGTGCATTTTTGACGTGACATTTACGTCATAACTAAAATTCGAAGACAGATCATTACCTCATCATTGCATGCATGATATGTATAATGCATGATCTGCTCTTTGTTTGATTTTGAATGAGAAAGCCAATGCGATGACTGCACTGGACTAGTGGCAGTGGTCAAAGTCGAAAAGAAGCACCGATAATGCGATATGCGACATAACCTTTCTTCGTTCTGCAATTTTGGCTGGATTGTGTGAATGGAAACCGTTTGTCACGGTCTGGCACCCACTCAGAACTGACTTTCAAGAGTACTGGTAGCCTCGCACTCCTTTCGCAGTAGGTTTAGTGACAGCGGCTGCAGGAGACCCTGCTGGTTGATTCAGAAGAAATTTTGAATCCAAGTTCATGTGTGCAACGTAAGGCAGCACTGTCAGCGTCAGTCTACGAGCACTGTCAAGATGAGTCGGGGCTCAATGAGAACAGATGAGATGCTGGAGATCGAGAATGAGCGACTACTGGAAAGCGTCGCAGCGAAAGCCAAGCTCATGAAATCGGTGAGCGGAGAACAACAACCCCAAAATAATAATTTGTGTCCGTCCAGCATTTGTTGAAAAAATGCAAAAATACAACAAGGCAGGTCACGAATCAGGCTGTTTATCATCGCTGTGCATGTGGCATATTCCGTCATTCCTCAGAGCGCTCGTCATAGATCCTGATCAGATCATCTGTATGTTGTGTTGCCGAGAGGCTTTTTGGGCTCATGTACATAAGTGAGCTCTGCACTGGTGTGGCCAAGATACGGAAAACAAAGAAAAGAGGGGACTTGTAATTCCCTAGTTTGTCTCGAGTGAATGTACAATCATGTACATGTACGGTGCTGCTCAATGAATGTCAATCTAGTCGCTCACGTACGTGCCATCCCTAGACGTGCGAACACTGGGCTGCGAAATGGTGCAAGGCGCAATCTTGACTCACTCAACCAAATTTCATTCGGCAGCACTGTGCATGTACTATGCGTCTTGCTCGAAACCAAGGTATGATGGAAAGGCAGCTGAGAGTGCTGGGTGTTCACAACACGGTAATACCATTACAAGATAGTGTTAGCGGGCGTGAGGTCAGTGCGATCTCCGGCGTGGGTAGCATACACCCCTCCTCTGGTAGTAATGGCTTGTTGATTTGACCGGCCGAGATGCCACGCTACTTGCGGATAAGTAGTAGACAACGAGCGGGTTCTACCACAGGGGCGCCCTGCTCCAAAAAAGGGTGTTATTGAAAATATGTATTGTGTACATGTGGGTTTATTGGATGAAGCTTGTCGGCTCGTCTGGATTGTACTCCGATAGATATCTGTTGTTGGCGGTGGCGTGTCTAGCGGACGCCATGCTTATTCGGATACTAGCACAAACAGTGCACTAGCCACACTCCACAATGGCAAGTAGTTACTCCTGGTCGGTCTTGTTTCGTTCCGTAAGATGACGGGAACTCGCCAGCTTTTAAAAGCGGCACGGGTGTGTATTACATGACCCTGATGATGGGCCAGGCCCGAAAATTTGGCGTGATGTAAATTTTTAATTTTATCGCCGTGAAGGGACCGTTGTTGGAGTTTGGAGTTAAGAAGTGAAGTTTCCTAAACGGACATGTACTGTATACTGTAAAAGCCATTATTCTAACGTGGTGCATATGTATAACGATTTCCTAAAATTGACTGGTTTACGTGTACCAAAGGTGACGATTCTCACTCATTCTCAACGCTCAATAGCAACAGTATAATGTATCGATTTCTGTATAACGATTTCTATTTTAACGAAAGATTTCTCCTCGTTAACTCGTTAGAGTTAGCACTTTGTTATAAATTATGGCTTTTACAGTAACACCTTATTTTCGGTGTAACTTAAATTTCGGTAATTTCGGTAGAGAACCAGGTACCTAAATTTAGATTACACCTGTATGGCACTGGAGTATGCACTGTACGTGCAGGGAACGCTGGTTACCTAACTCTACATTACACCTGAAACCTGGCAGGGTCCTAAATACCGAGATTTTACCACGCCTAAAGCTACCTGTTATACAGTAGAATCCATACATCCTGTACACACACTCTCTAACGGTCTCTAGGCTACACTGCAATTGATATACATTAGGCCAAAACAAAAAAATAGGCTTGTTTCCGGTCGGCAACCCCTCAAAAAGGAGACTCGGTCGGCCGGAATGAAACTTTTTTTGGATACTTCTTTTGGTTCCTCAATCGTTGTGGTATTGATGGACAAGAGCACCTACATATGTACATTGTACATATATCATGGCAAGGATCAATGTCAAAGTTGACTGACTCACTGTTCTTGTACAGCATGTGGTGTATTCCTGTTTTCGTACATCCTGAGAAATCAAGCAAACAGTTTGAGTCCTTCCAGCTCCGTTATTCTAGCTCGTATCGACCCCGGAGTTTTGCTGAGAATCTCTGCTACCTTGTAGGTGTTTCGATTGTGGAATTCGGTTGGGATTTGACTGAGTTATGACTCGTCGAGTCCACTTGCACACATGGCATTGCCACCGTTTGTATACATTTGGGACCAGAAAAAAGTTTCAGAATTTGGGAAAAAGTGGCCCGGTCGGGCGACCGGAAACAAGGTCATTATTTGTTTTGGCCTTAGATCAAATTTTTTGTTGCAAATTTTCCTTGCCCATCCTCATGATGGGCCTTGCCCAAAAATTTGAGCTAATGTATATCAATTGCAGTGTAGCCTAGAGACCGTTAGAGAGAGTGTGTACAAGGTGTGTGTACAGGATGTATGGATTCAAGTACTGGCTACAGTGGAGTCTCCAAACCTTGAGAGTAGTGTTATGCAGTAGGTAAAGCAAAGTAAAGTCTGCACATCCGCGTTACCACCGGCTTACAATTGTGCTGGGAAACACCACCAGCTGCTTAGAGAAGTTTTGCTCGTGCCAGGCCACCACCATGCCCGATTTTACCAGGGTGGCAGATGCAGTGCCTAACGGCGAGGGTGAGATGGTAAGTCTCACAACCAATGCCCGACAAGGGGGCGGACCTCGTTAGCTGCATCCATGTTGCCCTCACTCCAAGTAGGGAGCGCCTGCGAATCACAAGGTCCCGAGTTGGAGACCCGCCTGGGAGCAGGGAGCGTGTACTGTGCTAACAAATGCGGTGATGCATGCGTGAACCACTTTACATGCAATGAACTGTGCCGACACCCACGGTCAACTGGGTTCTCCCTATTCGGTATGTATGTGGTAAAGATGAAGTTGTTCTTTGTGTGTTTTCCATGATCGTGTGTTCGTTTTTCAGGTCGGTCTCGACATGAATCGTGAGGTCAAGTCACAGAACATGCAGCTTGGGGACATGGTATGTATGGTTCTGTGCTCTTGTCTGTGTCTGTGTGTGCACGTGTGTGTGTCTGTGTGTCTGCGGATATGTGTGTGCATGTGTGAGCATGCTTGCACGTGTCTGTGCGCACACATGCAGCTGCGTGCACACCTGCGCATGTGTGTCTGTCTGTCCCTGTGTTTGTTCATGCGTGCTTGTGTGCGCACAACTCGTGTGCGTGTGTCATCGACGTAGAGAAAGAGATGTTACGCCGATTTACGAGATCCACGATTGTACCGTGGTGGGTAGTGCAATCTAATCTCATGAACCTAGCAGCTTGGCCCAGGACTACAGTACCTTTTTTTCTTTCTTTTTTCTCTACAAAATCCACATATCTCCAGACACTGGGATGAATAATGGAGTGTGGTGGTGGGGCCCATTAACCCTTTCCGTGCTGGCCCCTTTTACTCCAGCAAACTGACTTTCCAGCGCACTGACTCTCCTGGTGTCGTTTTCGCTCACAGGTCCGAACGAATTTTTCTCTCAGTTCAGTTTACCTGGATGGATTTTCATCATCCTGGGCTTGTTGGAAAGATCGGGACCAAGCGAATCCATCCTGGTAGCTCTCAACTCAATATTCATGGCGGTGCAACTTCTATGTCCTGTCGAAACTACTTCACGATGCCTCGGAAAGGCACAGCAACTCGATCTCACATTCTTTTTCGGTTTCTTGTTCCAGGTCAGCCGATTTTCACTATTCAAACTGCGCTGCAAAGCTGAGATCCACGTGCTTTCGCTGGTGTCCATTACGCATGCGCTGTACCAAAGGGAAATCCCCTGGCACGCAACAGCAAACTGCGAACGCACGAACAAAAAAAACTCACGATCGCTCAGTGCCGTGAATTTTGTGTTCACACCGTCGCCGCTCCGTCAATCTTTCTCCTATCGTGAAGAACTTTATATTGCTGGAAAGCTGAGGTCAATACCTTTCCAACGGTGTATCGATTGTCGCGATAGACTCATTTTTGACGGAGTTACGAAAGTTTGTACACTGATCTATGCACAGCGATATACTGCGCAAATCTCATGACGTCTATAGATGTCATTAGTCGTTTGGCGTACAGTGCGCATGACGTCTATAGACGTCATTAGCACGGAAAGGGTTAAGCTCCGCCGACCAGAAGTCTCGGCTTCATAGCTCCATGGACTGTTGGGTGCCAAAGAAAGGAGTGATGAGGAGCAAGCAGGCTAGGATTCCACCAAGCACAGCACGCCGGTGTATACAGTCAGATCTCGCTTAGCCGCACACATCCGTTTTCCACAAAAACATCCGGCTAGGCGAGGGAACCGGATAACCGAACACTGGTTATGTTGGATGCATCACGTATGCTGTAAATATGTAACCAGCTATTTTCTTTCCGGATGGCGAGGGATCCGGATAAAAGAGAACCGGATAAGCGAGGTCTGACTGTACACCGTAACTAAAGTGTGCATGGACTGGAGTGCAGTAAAACCTGTAATGGCGACCACTCGGATATGGCGACCACTTGACCATGGCGACCACTTTTCCCTGTCACGGACGCATTCACATTCAAAACAGCTCGGATAAGGCGACCACTCACTCAACGCGACCGACGACCACCCACCCGCGACCGCGTTGCCCAGTGCTAGTACATGTAAATGTACGCATTGCATGGTAGATCTACACATGGTGCATGCACAACACTCGACAGGTCCGAGGACATGCGTCGGGCTAGAGTAGCATAGGTGTGTGCACTGTGATACACTGATCAAAATGATGTATCACATGTGGATATGGTAACGCGAACCACTGAGCCTGGATAAGAAGACAACCTGGCCACGGCACGGCTGTTCAGATGCCGAAAAACCGGCATCTACGTCATCCGGGATGCATGCCCACTTTTGATTGTTGAGTTCAGGAAAATTCAAAAATTCGAATCCTTGTCACGTAGGAATTGACTTGAATACAGGTCTTCTTCGATGAATATGCCACAAACCAGCCCTGATATCCAGGCGATTTCAGGTTTAAAAAACTCCTTGGCTGTCGTCTTCCTCATTTCCTGAATTTCGTAGCTTCCTTCCTTGTGAAAGTGCTCTTTTTCCTTGATGAACCTTTGCCTTCTTCTTCTCGTTATTCCATGGATGGTGCCTCTTCCTGGGGATAGTTTCAGTAAGCTTCTAGCCGTAGGTAAGGTTTCCTCGTTTCTTCTCTAAGTTTTTTCTTGTAGTCGAATCTCCTATCTGTGCAACCCGACTGAGTTTTTTTCGTCGACGGCCCCTCGATCTTGTCGAGGGCCCCTGCCAGTAGTCCTCATGGCCAGTCACCACTCAGTGCTAGAGTCTCTCTGCAGGGTCTGTGGCTCATTTATTCCTCCTTTTCGTAAAGATAAGAAGACTAGAACGACCACGCATTCTGTGAATGATCATGCAGACGAGCTCCTGCATTATTTCAACATTGACACCACAACAGATACACCAGACGTACATCCCACAACGTTTTGTGATTCATGCAAATCATACATGAGAAGGGCTTCTTCCTCCTCTTCTGATGACTTCCGAACACCTGGCATTTACGTATGGCAGCCACATACTACACGTTCAGTTTGTGAGGTGTGCTCCAGTGCTCTAGACAGGAAAAAAGGTGGCAGGCCCAAGAAACCATCGTGTGCAGTTGCTGGATCAAGGGTCACACCGAAGCCCCCACATTCCAGTTTGGACAGGCTTCAGGAGCTGGCCTCCCCTACATTGGCTGGAAATGAATCTCTTATTTTTATGTCACCGTCTCCCTCTTTTTCTTGCTGTGTATGTTCTAAGCAAGTGAACGCAGCAATTCAGCACCCATGCTGCGAGCGTCTTTCGTGTGTGGAGTGTATCCATGATGCTTTTAGGGATGCATTTGAAATAGAATGCATGCACTGCAAGGCGAAGCTGCGGGCAGCACAGTTGAAATCTCCATCTCCGTTCACCATGAACATACTTGCTGAACGTAGAGTTCAGTGCAGCAAGTGCATTGGCAACATTCAGCTTGACAAATACACCACACACCAAGAAACATGCACAGCACCAACATCCATAACATTGTCATCCACAGTGAAACAAGTCATGCATGCAACCCCAACTGCACTTTGTGGCAACGTAGCTGAGGACCTTCTCTCTTTTCTTGTCACTCAAAAGTCAGACAATGGTGTGTTACAGCAAAAGTCAGGCACACGACACATTACTTGGAATAGAATTCCAGTGGCAAATGTATCTTCAGCAGATGCTTCAGCGAAAACTCTCCGCCAACGGGAGGCAACACTTAAACAGGTAAAGGAAACCATTTCTGGTGGCAATGCTGAAAGTATGCTTGCCCAAGATGCCCATGGATTAAAAATGAGGTCAAAAGAAGGGAAAAAAGAGTTATTGAAGGAAGCCGGGTGTGTACCGAAATCATTACCAGAGGACGTGGGCCTAGCCATCAAGGCCGATTTACAGCTGCCTTGGAGTGGCCTCCGAAAACTTCGCAGATACCTGAAAGGGGCAGGGGTGCCAATTGAATCAGAACACAAAATGAGGGACACAATCAAGACTGCTCTGCCTTTCATTTTGAACTGCAGAGAAGAGCTGCTTGTGGACAAATCTGGCGCAATGAAAATGTGTCCTGTAGCTTCGTTCCCGGATCTTGTAGCAATCATTCTGCACTACCTTCAGTTAAATGAAGATGCGGAAACGCTTACTTGGCGCGATGGAGCTATCCCAGCTGATGAGGTATGGGTGAAAATAGGAGGCGATTTTGGTGATGAATCGTTCAAGTTCTGTTTTCAAATCGTTAACGTGGAACACCCAAACTCGACTGACAACACGGTACCTTTCTTGATCTTTCGAGCGAAAGACAATGCAAGTAACCTGGATTCCTTGCTCAAATCATACCATGCGCAAATTCAGCAGCTTGCATCAGGTAAGGTAACCTGGAAGGGGAAAATGGTGAAACTATTTCTGTTTGGGGATTATGAGTTCATGTGCAAAGTGTATGGTATCTCTGGTGCTAGTGGCGTGCGTTCGTGTCTTTTTTGCCTTGCCACGAAAACAGACATGCAAACGAAAGACTCGTCTATGAAGCAGCAACGCTCCCTTGAGCAACTTGCTGCAGACAATGCTCGGTTCCAGGAAGCTGGCAGCATCTTGGCCCAAGCCAAGAACTTCAACAATGTGATCCGGCCAGTTACTGTGCCGATTCCTATCCATAAGATATGCATCCCAGTGTTGCATTTAGATCTGGGAATATTCCCCTGGATATATGAAGCAATGCTCCGCGATGCGGAAGCCCTGGATCTCCTCTTGGCACTCTCTGGCACTGATGTGCAGTCCAGTGCGTCATTCACCACTGCGGCAGAAAAGCGGAGAGAACTGCATGCTTTGCAGCAACAGCATACTGCCCTCGTTGAGCAGGCTCGAGCTGCACAAGCTCAGCTGCATTGGCTGCTCGCAAGAATTCCAACCGTCGAGGAAAATTCCTTGCAGCACGTTCAGCTCCTAGCAGCTTCAGGTATGCTGCACCAACTTTGGATGCAGGCACAAGAAGATATCAACAAGCTGTTGCCGCAACTGGAGAACCTCGACGCAGAGCTGAAGGCAATCAAAGTCCGCAAGGGACCATGTCACGAGTCCTTTGAGCCTGTACTAAAGAAACACAGAATTGAAAGACAGGCGTACCACTCAGGCGCTTTTGTGGGTAACCATATCCACAAAGCGCTACAGCCAACAGTAAGCAAGGACATCACCAGCGCACCACTCCAGACTATGACCGACATCTTCGACATCCACAACTTACCAGACGTGCAGTACACTCCAGAACAACAAGATCTGCTGGACAGGGCCTCAACACTCCGTGATAAGTACTGTACACTCCTCACGCAGTACAGAGATTGTAGAGCGATCTTTGCTACTTGTGACAAAGCTACACCTGACTCTTTACATCAACTCTCAACCAACATCGACATATTCATGACAAATCTACGAACTATTGTGGCCCAGCAAAAGAAGACGGTGACACCGAAGATGCACATGCTAGAGTGTCATACCGTGGATTGTATGAAGGAATTTGGAGTCTGCCTCGGACTAATGGGCGAACAGGGTGGTGAATCGATCCACAAATGCTTCAAGCACTTGAGAAGCTCAATCAGCAACGTCAACAGAGACGTGGATCGGCTGCGAGTTCACTTCTGGCAATACTTGAACAATACACTGCCGAGATATAACAGCATGAAGCTGCAGCCAGTGAAAAGAAAGCGGTCTACATGTAGTCAGTGACCGGTGGAAAGCGCTGCATCCATGGCCGAGCTATTGTTTAGTCCAGATTGTCATTTGCAATAATCGAGCGCAGCTGTGCCAGGAGAGTCTTCCGTTTGCATGTCTGACTGCATGAAAGAGAAACAATCTGAAACGCGTCGCCAACGGATGGTGGGTGGTGGTGGGGAAAAGCATGGCCTATGCGGCCGCTTCGCAGAATCATTTTCACTGTCTCACCTACTTTGCATGTCCAACAAGAAGCACACCAGCTAGCTACAAGACAAAAGATATTTGAAAGATTTTTTTGAGAAAACGAGTAATGAAGCGGAGTACAGCAGTCGCCATTTTGGTTACTGTGGATACTGCTGTCACGTGCACTTGATTTTTTTTTACGAAAGTGTCAGCCATGTTCAGTAGTTTCCAGCTTCGAACAGCCGTGACGGCGACCACTTTTTCTCGTCCCTTGAATGGTCGCCTTAGACAGGTTCCACTGTACATGGATATTGGAAAGGTCCAGGCTAGAAGGCTGCCCCCCCCCCCCCCCCCAGTCCTTTGGCACCCGGCAGTACTGTAGTAATGTTATGAACACTGGCAGGTGTAGAGAACATGCCTCTGCTCTATCATAATGTCTCTCTCTCACTCTCTCTCTCTCTCTCTCTCTCTCTCTCTCTCTCTCTCTCTCTCTCTCTCTCCGCTACAGAGTGGAGACTTTGAGGGTGCCGGTGGGTTGCTGGGCAGCACGCTGAAGGGCCTCAACAATATGACGCGGAGTGGCAACTCTCGTTTCATGCTCTACATCATTGCCGGTATCCTGTTTTTCTTCTTCGTCATCTACTACCTGACGTCGATGCGACGGTGACGTGGCCCTGTGCGCATCCTATCATCTACGTTTTCGTATGTACTGTTATTGTCACCGTCACCTTCAGTTGGTTAAGTCCGTCAGGCTATGCATCGTGGGGCCTGCCCGGCCGACTGGGTGTGGTGCGCTTGAATAGCTGGTTGTGGGCTGCCTGACTGGCTAGTTGTGGGCTGCCCAACTGACTGTTTGTGGTCTCCTCGACTGAATGTGTGTGGTCTCCTCTACTGACTGTGTGTGGTCTCCTCGACTGGCTGTTTGGGTCCACGTGGCTGGCTGTTTGCGGTCTCCTCGACTGGCTGTTTGGGGCCCGTGTGGCTGGCTGTGTGTGGCAGCCTGACTGGTTGTATGTAGACTAGTACCCGGCCGTCTGCGTGCTGGCTGCCTCACTGGCTGTCTGTCTTGTAGTGTGTATACATGTAGTTATCACACAGCAGCCCTATGCGTCAATTGTTGGCCAAAGAGGTACCAATAAGGTTGAAGAAACCAGAGTGGTTCTGTGTCGGTAACTGGTGTTAGTTTAGTAATAATGTGTTGCCTGTCAAGACGGTGGTGTGCTGCTCCTGTTTAGTCCCCCTGTCATCCTGCTATTTCTGTGCTGATTGATGTTCCAGCCCAGGCGCTGCTGGTCCTTGTGCTGCCCCCCCCCCCCCCTCCCCGCTTTCTCCTTCCTATGTGCTCTGGTTGTCTTCTCTGCTATCCAGTCCCCCTCCTGACCACGCTGCGTGTACTCTATCCGAGTTGCGCACAGAATCACCCCTCACCTGCACCATGATTCCGTTCCCAAGTGCATTGGAATCCGTCTATGGTATGCCTCGTCTTCTCTGCTACTAACTGGATCGCCGTCGGAGTTTGAAGCCTCCCGATTGCGACTTGCAATGCTTTCTCGTTTTCAGATTTTCTTTGCAGCCGGTATTGGTATGGTCGTGCGTTGGAGCTAGACCGCAGCATGGTGTTGTTTATTCAGTGCCCCCCCCCCCCCGTATTGTTTTCAGCATGTCTGCAGGCTCTTCTGCGTCCCCATTCATGACCACATTTTTTACATCCTCCATGCACTAGCTTCACCGCCACCATTCCAGATTCCACAACCGAAAAGTATTCTTGACCTCCTAGTTGTAGTTGCAGCCCTTGGATGTTCAAGCTGGAGTTGGATGGGATATTCCCCTGCTTGAGTATTTGTTACTGTTGTGTGCATTATTTGATTTCACCACACTATCACGTCAACGTGTACATGTTTTTTATGCTGTTTCTTGATTTGTTTTCGTGACGAGTCACGGACATGCGATATTAGTGGCTGTAGTAACCGCTATACCCATCGTATATTTGCATGTTGTTTTCCTGCTCTGTGTGGAGTGTACGGGAGTTTTGTTGTGGTTGCAGAGCCTCCGAATTTGGAAAATCTGCTTTGTCGACTGTACTAGCATTACGCTGTCTTGAGTGTTTTGATATTTTTTAAACTAGCTGCTTGTTGAGGGAAGGAAAAGGGAAAAGTGTGAAGTCAGTTCTTCGGCATCCGACAGTGCTGTAGCGACTTTATGAACAACTGGCGGGTGCATTACTCTCTCTCTCTCTCTCTCTCTCCTCTCTCTCTCTCTCTCTCTCTCTCTCTCTCTCTCTCATTCTCTCTCTCTCTCTCTCTCTCTCTCTCTCTCTCTCTCTCTCTCTCTCTCTCTCTCTCTCTCTCTCTCTCTCTCTCTCTCTCTCTCTCTCTCTTCTCTCTCTCTCTCTCTCTCTCTCTCTCTCTCTCTATATAGCTCTCTCTAGCTCTCTCTCTAGCTCTCTCTCTCTCTAGCTCTCTCTCTCTCTCTCTCTCTCTCTCTCTCTCTCTCTCTCTCTCTCTCTCTCTCTCTCTCTCTCTCTCTCTCTCTCTCTCTCACTCTCTCTCTCTCTCTCTCTCTCTCTCTCTCTCTCTCTCTCCTCTCGCTCTCTCTCGCTCTCGCTCTCGCTCTCTCTCTCTCTCTCTCTCTCTCTCTCTCTCTCTCTCTCTCTCTCTCTCTCTCTCTCTCTCTCTCTCTCTCTTTCTCTTTCTCTCTTCTTGTGGTACATTTAGTATGTCCTTTGCGCCAAGTTTTCTGTGACTATGCTGCTATGTTAGCCTGTGTTCCTTAGCTTGAAACGAAGTGTTCTATTTCAAGACGTCTTCTGATCTGGTACAGTGGTAGCACGGGTATGATGGGTCTCTTCCACGCTGTCCGACATTATTATTATTATTATTGTTCTTTATTGCCACGATGGCCCATGGCCAATATTAAAGGAAGATAATTGTGATTGAAATCAGTCCGGAATCATAATAAAATCAATCTAGCAAGCAAGGAAGGAAGCCAGCACATTGCAGAGGGATGGGGTAACGATGGGGTACAGCGTGAGCTACTACAGGAGCATATGGATGATAGACGTGTAGCATTCCGGGTGGAATTCTGCTTAGTGTGCGGCGAAGGAGATCAACACGCTTTGTCAACTACTGGTACTTGAGCGGAGATCAGTCTTGTGCAAGCCTTCGGTCATGGCAGCCGGCCAACTGAGTGACTGGTGGCAAGATGTTCATGTTACGTCAAAGGCACCGACAAGCTTCAGCGATGACTCGGCCCAGCTCAAGAATAGCCATTCGCTATAGACCTGGCTCTACGGTCACTGGGTCTGCCGTCTGCCAGTTAGGGCGCGTTCAGACTACCGATAAAAAGTGAAAGGAATGGGAAAGTTTCCAAGGTGATTTGATCACGGACGTTACTGGCCCGCTACCGGCGGAAAAGTTTTACTTCCGCGGCTGCTGCGGCAGTAAAACTTTTCCGGCAGTAAAAAGAGTGCTCAGGCTGGGAAAAAGGGAAAATCCCTCCTCAGTGCCACGGTGAGAGGTGCAAAACTTACGTACCGGTAACGTTAGTTTATCGGTACTGTGAATGTCCTTCACGGTTTATCGGCATTCACGGTTTGACGGGGTTCACGGTAGTCAGAACACGCCCCAAGTAGGATGTTGGCTGGACAGGTTTCCTGGAGGCATTGAGTAGACATGGTTAGCATTTTACCATTGACGCTATTTTCGACGGTACCGCTTTTTGTGTGTGGAGACATGGCATTTTACCGTTCACGCTACTACGGCTAGATCCAACGGCACTCGTACCCCAATCCCAAAATACCCACGGTTTGGTACTGTTTCGACGATAGCAAGCTCTTTTTAGCTGGAGAACGAAACGGTAAGATTCAAGACTCAATAGGGTAACGTCACCACTTGATCGTTGCGTCAGGAGTCAGGACTCAGAAGCCGAACTGCTACCATGTCTTGGAAACACACAAGAATCAGTAGACTCGCCCTCTATACGCCGACCGTCGAAATAGCGTGAACGGTAAAATGCTAACCATGTCTAATTGTCTAGCTCAATGACATGTGCTTAGCCCGTACGGACCCAGCCCTTTCCCAAACTGGGTGCTCGCCACTTTTTTTTCGCAACTTTCTGTTGTTTTGGAAAACTTCGCGATCTTTCGCAACTTTCTTCATTTTTTCACAAAAACTAGTTTGCAACGTTTCCGCAGCCGTGAGCAGAGAAGCGCCCTGAAGTATTGAAGCGTCCATAATGCTCCGCGCTACAACCAGAAGCGTTGAAACATTGCATCAAATCATCATGAAAAGTGTTCTTCTTGTAGTACATACATGTACATGTATGAACATGCTTTTTGTTTGACAGCATGGCAGGTACAAGGTCTACAATAATATCAATACAAGGTTTATCTAATACCCTGTATGAACATGTACATGTATGTGGCAGCACTGAGTAGCTACATGTATGTCATAAATGTTGTGCGAAGGTACAACAAAAACTGAGGACAATAATAAATATTTTATTAATATTAAACGTGGATGCGATGCCAGTCTTTAAAACTTGTTTTAGCATGGTTGCAGTTGCGAGAAATGTTGGCACATGCGCACACACACACACACGCGCACACACACACACACACACACACACACACACACACACACACACACACACACACACACACACACTCACACACACATCCTTCTACGCAGAGCAAAATGAGAATAATAATGTACATGGCTGTAGACTATACTAGTTTTGCTAATAAGAAAAAAAGTAAATGATCAGAGACTTTGATTAGTTTGAAGTGTTAGCAAGAGAGAATTATGCTAGTAGGTACAACCTTGTGCAGCCGGTCAAAAGTGAAGGAAAGTACAACGACCAAAAATACAAAACAAAAGTCTCCGACGTAATTGTGCACAAAATAAATTCACGACAAAAAAACAACGAAAACCAACGACAAAGGGGAGAGGTTGACTCAGGGCAGATATACATGTAGGAGGGTGGCATTTATGCATGTATTTTTGTTATTGCAAGTACACAAGTCAGAGCCAGAGGGTAGAATGCCTACTTCAAAGTATTCATTATTACAGTAGCGATCATTGAAGCTCGGCGCGAGCCTGCTCTTCCTCCTCGGCAGTGAC